CTGGGACTCCAACTGGTGTCCATATGGGATGCGGGCACCGCAGGCAGTGGCTTTACCTGCCCTGCCACAGCACCAGCCCTGGGCTCATGGTTTTTTAAAAATTAATTATTTGTAATGTATTTCTTAATTGACTAATTATTACATGTATTTATCATGTACATGTTCAGTTTCTTTCAGCACTTTAAAGATGATTTCTTACAAGAAATCTGCTATCATCCTTATGTTCTATGTGATTTTTTTTCTTGGATGCTTTAAAAATGATTATTTAGTGCCTTGATGTGGCATTCTGTATATTTCTTCTGAGTCATTGAGCTTTGATCTCCGAGTTTATAGTTGTCATCAAATTTGGAAGTTTTTAGGTTATTACTTCTTCTTCTGCATTTGTCCTCTTCTCCCTCCCTCTCCTCCTCTCCCCCTCATCTTCAGGGATGTATATGTGTATGTATACGTATATGTATGTATATGTTAGGCTGCTAGGTGTTGCCATACAGATCACTGGCACACTGGTAATTTTTTTCCTCCGCCTCCTTTATTCTTCTTGTGTAGTTTTTTTTTTTTTATTAAGTGCATTTTTGGCCATTTTCTTTTCATATATGTACATATTATTCAAGAGGCAGAGAGATAGATGGAGATAGAAAGATAGAAAGATCCTATTAGCTGGTTCATTCCCCAAATGACTGCAGTGGCCAGGGCCATAGCCTGGGACTGGAAATGCTGACCAGGTCTCCCATGTGGGTGGCTGAAACCCAACCACTTGAGCCATCTCATGTTGTATAATTTCTATTGCTGTATCTTCAAGTTCACTGATCCTCTTTTAAAAAAAATTAGTTATTTGAGAGGCAAAATGAGAGAGAGGAAGAGACAGGTATCTTCCATCCATTGGTTTGCTCCCCAGATGTCCACAACAGCCAGGACTGAGCCAAGGACTCCATCTAGGTCTCCCACCTGGGTGGCAGGGGCCCAGGTGCTCAGGCTGTGTGGTCTTGTTCTTGATCATAGAATTTTTTTTAAGATCTATTTTATTTATTTGAAAGAGTTACAGAGAGAGGTAGAGACAGAGAGGTCTTCCACCCGCTGGTTCACTCCCCAGATGGCTGCAGCGTTCAGAGCTGAGCTGATCTGAAGTCAGGAGCCAGGAACTTCTTCCGAGTCTCCCACATGGGTGCAGGGGCCATCTTCTACTGCTTTCCCAGGCCGTAGCAGTGAGCTAGATTGGAAGAGGAGCAGCCGGGACTAGAACCGGTGCCCATATGCCCACTGTGCTACAGCGCTGGCCCCATAGAACGTTTTCACTACATAAGACTTTTGCTACTGCTTATTATGATAAAGTGGACATAACAAAATTCATCATGAAAATCATTTCTAAGTGTACAGTTCAGTGGTATTTCGTACATCCCTGTTGTATGCCACTGTTGTCACTGTTTCCAGGTTTCTCATCATCTCAAACAGAAACTGCCTATTATAAACAAAAACTGGCCCGGCGCTGTGGCATAGAAGGTTAAGTCTCCGCCTGTGACGCTGGCATCCCATATGGGCTCCAGTTCAAGTCCTGGCTTCTCCGCTTCCAGTCCACCTCCCTGCTAATGCACATGGGAAAGAAGTGGAGGAGGCCCAAGAATTTGGGTCCCTGAACCCACTTGGGAGACCTAGAAAAAGCTCCTGGCTCCTGGCTTCAGCCTGGCCCAGCCTTGGCAGTTGCAGCCATCTGGGAAGGGAACCAGCAGATGGAAGATCCCTGTCTTTCTCTGTCTCTCCCTTTCATTCTGTAACTCTTTCAAAGAAAGAAATAAATACTTTTTAAAAAATATTCTATATCAGGTTAAATAAATTCCGTTTTTATTCCTAGTTTGCCAAAAGTTCTCACAAGTGATAACTGAATTGCGTCACCTTTTTTTGCATCTATTGAGGTCATATGCTTTTTTTCCTGTTTGTTCTATTAATGTGGTCGACTGCACTGAATTTTTTTTTCGTGGCTCATTAGTTACATTCCATTTTTTCATTAGTTTTTTCATTTTTACTTTTACAATTATATCGTTAGTGGCCGGTGCCGCGGCTCAATAGGCTAATCCTCCACCTAGTGGCGCCGGCACACCGGGTTCTAGTCCCGGTCGGGGCAGCGGATTCTTTCCCGGTTGCCCCTCTTCCAGGCCAGCTCACTGCTGTGGCCCGGGAAGGCAGTGGAAGATGGCCCAAGTGCTTGGGCCCTGCACCCCATGGGAGACCAGGAGAAGCACCTGGCTCCTGGCTTCAGATCAGCGCGGTGCGCCGGCCACAGCATGCCAGCCGTGGCGGCCATTGGAGGGTGAACCAACGGCAAAAGGAAGACCTTTCTCTCTGTCTCTCTCTCTCTCTCACTATCCACTCTGCCTGTCCAAAAAAAAAAAAAATTATATCTTTAGCAACTGATACTGCCTTTTTTAAAAAAAAAAGTTATGATAGCAAACAATATAACATTTACCGTCTTATGTATCTTCCATCCACTGGTTACTATATTACCTATTTTTAAGTGCAGTTTGGTAATTACTTATTTTATTTGAAAAGTGGAGCTACAGAGAGAGAGAGGGAGAGAGAGACACACACACAGATCTTCCATCCACTGGTTTGCTTTCCAGACGTCGACATGAGCTGGGGCTTGAGCAGGCCAGGTTGGGAGCCAGGGACACAATCCAGGTCTCCCATGTGGTGGCAGGAGCCCAGTTATTTGAGCCATCACCACTGTCTCCCAGTGTCCATATTAGGAAGCCGGAATCAGGAGCTGGGAGCCTGGAATTAAAGCCAGGCACTGCAGAGTGGAAATGCAGGCATCTCGGCTGTCATGTTACCCTCTGGGCTGAGGATCATTTTATTTGTGAGCTTTAGGAGATCTTTTATATGTTCAGAATATTACCTCTGAATCAAATATACAATTCTCGAGCCTTTTTTAGTTTCCCCCCTTCCATTCTGGATCTTTTCCATTGATGCCTGATTGATTTTTCCTATTTAACCAAACCTGGCATTATTGGAATGAACCCACTTGGTCATAGTGTGTTTATCCTTTTTAAATGTCACTGGATTGAATTTGCTGATATTTTATATAGGACATCTGTATTCTCTTCATATGTAAGAGTGGCCAGTACTTTGATATGTCCTTGTCAGATCTGGGTAACAAGGTTATACTGACATCATACACTTGGGAATTATGCCCTGTTTTCTAGTCTGTGGAGAGTTTAAGAGTGGTATCTCGGGGCCAGCGATGTGGCACAGCGTGTTAAAGCCGCCGCCTGCAGTGCCGGCATCCCATATGGGTGCTGGTTCAAGTTCCAGCTGCTCCTCTTCCAATCCAGCTCTTTGCTATGGCCTGGGAATGCAGTACAAGATGGCCCAAGTCCTTGGGCCCCTGTACCCACGTGGGAGACCCAGAGAAGGCTCCTGGTTCCTGGCTTCGGATCAGCGCAGCTCCAGCTGTTGTGGCCATCTGGGGAGTGAACCAGCGGATGGAAGACCTCTCTCTCTGTCTCTACCTCTCTCTGTAACTCTTTCAAATAAATAAAATAAATCTTAAAAAAAAAAAAAAAAAACTCGTTAAAAAAAAAAAGAGTGGTATCTCTTCCTCTTTTTCATCTTCTTCCTCCTCCCTTTCCTTCCTGAACAGTCGAAACCAGAAGTCATTAAATGGTAGACTCAAGCAGGACCAGTATTTACATAGTGGGGAGGCCTCGGTGGTCTGGTGGCAGCCGAGACGGACATCAGTGCGGGTGGTGGCAGGTGGCAGCTCAGCAAAGATTCAGGGCTCCCAGACTGGGTGACGGGTAGAGGGAAGGTGGTGGTGGACCGGCATGGAGTAGTGGAGGCTGATCCAGCGGCGAGAACAGATTGTCTTACGAGCAGCAAGGCTTGGTAGGCTGTGAGCACTGATGCCGATGGTGTTAGAGGGATGGAACCTGTTGACGTGGTTGTTGGATAGGAGACCTTGCCCAGGTCTATGAGGCCAGGGTAGCATAAAGAGGAGTGAAGGAGCTCTGAGAGAGTGAAGTGTTTAACAAAACAGTGTGTGGGATATAATAAGTACTTACTGTGGCCCAGCCATTGGTAGTGTGGTTGTTTTCGTCTTCCTTGTCTGCAAAAGCAGGAAGGGGGACGGATCTGACTCTTGCCCTCCTTATCCTGCCGCCAGTGCGAGCTGAAGCTCTTCCAGAAAGAGCGCGTGGGAGCGGCACCCTGGCACAGCCGTGCCGCACTGCGCTGCCTCAGCAACCAGTGCCAGGGGCTCCGAGGCCGCACACTATGCACGCATTTCTTTCTTTCTTTATTTTCTTCAGATTTTATTTTTTATTTATTTGAAAGGCAGAGTTAGAGAGAGAGGAGAGAGAGATCTCCCATTTGCTGGCTCCCTCCCCAAATGGCCACGATGGCCAGGGCTGGGCCAGGTGGAAGCCAGGAGCCAGTAGCTTCTCCCAGGTGTCCACATGGGTGCAGGGGCCCAGGCACTTGGGCCATCCTCTGCCGCTTCCCTGGGCGCATTAGCAGGGAGCTGGATCAGAAATAGAGCAGCCGGGTCTCAAACTGGCGTCCAGATGGGATGCCAGTGTTGCAGGCAGAGGCTCACTGTGCTATGCCACAACACCGACCCTGGGACTTATCTCTGTGATATTCTGTGCAGGCAGCTCTAGTGTTGGGGAACAGATTAGTGGGTGCCAGAGGTTTCGGGGTGAGGGGGAGAGTGTGACTACAGTGGGAAAGCAGAGCACTAGGGAGTTTTGGGGGTGATAGTGTGTTCTACATCCTGATTTTGGTGTTGGTTATTCAAATCTGTACATGGGTTAAAATTCATAGACCTGTATACCAAAAGTAGTCAGATTTATTGTGTGTGAATTTTAAAAAGCACACTGTGGAGACAGCACCTTGGGGTCTGGGTGTCGGGACCGACTGGCGTTTGTGTCAAAGCACAGTCCACGTGCCCAGGCCTGGTTCCTCGCTTCCGGCCCCTCATCACTCACTGGCTTTTTCCTTCCTCGTGTTAGATTGGAGCTGGAGGGAGCATCACTGGGCTGAAGTTTAACCTTCTCAATACCAACCAGTTTTTCGCCTCCTCAATGGAGGGAACAACTAGGCTGCAAGACTTTACAGGCAACACCCTCCGAGTTTTTACCAGCTCAGACACCTGCAAGTGAGTAGCCGAACTAGCATGGCAAGGGCTTCCAGCTCCAGGTGTAGTCCTGGCGAGAGCATCCTGACCCCGCTTCTGTTACCTGCACCTGGCCAGGAGGAACGAGAAGGCGTTCGCCACTTTCCACCCCTCCTTCCCTTTCTCAAACTCTGGCTACTCTGACTGCCGTCCAGGTGGGCTCCTGCTTTGGGAAGGTGTTCTGGAGCCTCGGCTCTTCTCGGCTTTTCTCTAAGTCACACCTGTGTTAGGCTCGACCTTGGCTGTCACGAGACAAGTCAACGTGGTGGTGGCCCAGGGTGGAGCAGGCACTTAGGACTTCAGACGCAATTCCTTCTGTTCGTTGGCGGGTGAGGAACTCACCAGTTCCTTGGTGGAAGCTTCAATGGATCCAGTAGTGTCCAAAAAGTGCTCCGGGCTCCCCAAGAGCAAGGGGCTGGAGGAATTAAAAATGCAGGTCCCTCCGCGTTCTAGCCAGAGACCCAAGTCTAGCTGCTCCCTAAGGAGTTAAGTGAGGGGCGGGGTCTGACAGCTAGCACTGGGTTTCCTGGGCTGCCCCACAGGGACAGGTGACTGGCTAGACTCAGCTCCATGTTAGTCTTCCACAAGAAACCCTCTCGCTTAAAGATCCTGAAGGGGAACGACCAAAAGGCAGACTAGCGTGGCTCTGAGGGTTCAGGGGAACAGATGTGCATCTGGGCTGCAGGTCGTGTGTGCTTTACCCTAACTGCTCAGAAGGGGGCAGACATTTCTTTCCGGCCAGCTCTGAGGAGCACAGCTGGGCAGTTTCTGCTTGGCGTGTCTTCTCCTTTAGCCCCAAGCTGGAGAGGGAAGGCAGAGAAAGGAGACTGAGGTTCTACCAGCTGTGGGGCCCAGCTAGCCAGGAGGCTTGCCTTAGGGCCCGAGGTCTCACTGCGTCTGGGACTCTCCCTGGCTCAGGACGCTAGGCCCGGCAGACTGGACACATTTTGGAGCCCCCCTCACCCTCATTCCCTCTGTTTGGCTGGTAGACAAGACTGAGTGTTCTTCCTGGGAATCCATGGTAAGACAGATACTTCATTCATTCAACAAATATTTATTGAGCGCCTGCCGTGGGTTAGGCCCAGGAGCTGCAGCAGTGAGTTAAAGGACCTCTCTCTGGCCCCAGGAATCTCACAGTACAGTCTCTCCTTCCAGCGTGTGGTTTTGCAGCCTGGACGTGTCTGCCAGAAGCCGAGTGGTGGTCACAGGAGACAACATGGGGCACGTGTTTCTGCTGAACATGGACGGTAAAGAGGTGCGTGCTCTGAGCCCTGGGCGCGCCTTCACTCCCCTCCCCCCACCTCAGTTCTCTGTCCCCAGCTGAGCCGGGCTCTCCTCTGCAGCTCTGGAATCTCCGAATGCACAAAAAGAAAGTGACCCATGTGGCTCTGAACCCGAGCTGCGATTGGTTACTGGCCACAGCCTCCGTAGACCAAACAGTGAAAATCTGGGACCTGCGCCAGGTTAGAGGGAAAGCCAGCTTCCTCTGCTCGCTGCCACACAAGCATCCTGTCAACTCAGGTGTGAACCCCACCTGTCTCAACACTCCGGGGCCTCCTGGGAAGTGTGGAAGCCGCTAGGCCGACCCTTTCTCCCCAGTGTCTCAGATCTCCTGTGGGCTACTGAGTTTCTAGAATTCTTCTGCTCACAGGCCTGGTTCACCTCTGCCCTTTCCCCCCATCTCAGAGGTGTCAGAGGGAGGGTGCCCCCGCGAGAAGCGGCCCGACGGGGGTGGGGCTTCCGGTTTCTGCAGCTTAGGTGCTTGTCACTTCGCCAGCCTGCTTCAGTCCTGACGGAGCCCGGCTCCTGACCACGGATCAGAAGAATGAGCTCCGGATTTACTCTGCCTCCCAGTGGGACTGCCCCGTGGGCCTCATCCCGCATCCTCACCGGCACTTCCAGCACCTCACTCCCATCAAGGTGAGTGACGGAGTGACGAGAACGCGCAGAGGGAGCGGAGAGCGTGGGGACGGACCAGGTCTGCCCAAGGTGGGGAGGGGGCAGGCGTGAGAGCCTGCAGCTCCAGACCTCTTCTTGCCCCAGCAGACAGTCTCTCAGCCTTTCGGCGCTCTCTGTTCCTTTTATGCCACGTTTGCAAGTCCAGTTGGTGGGCCGTCTTTTGTCTCTGAGAAGCTGTCTCCCTCAGGAGTTTCAGCCCAGCCCTGACCTGTGAGCATGTGCAGAATGCTGAGCTTCTGCCCTGCCCTCTCGGTTTCAGTTAGCCGTGTGTGTGGGTCCACAAACTAACCTTCACCTTCTTAGTTTGTCTTGCAGGTTTAGGTGGCTTCTAATAATAGAAATAAGTCCCTTCCTTTCCCATTTTGGATCTCCGTTTCCTCATCTGTAAAAAGGGAATAATAGTATCTAACTGATAGGGTTGTTGTGAGGATGAATCAGTGTACTTAAAGCACTTGGCACCATGCCTAGCACCGGGTGAGTACTCAGAAAATGATGACCGCTTAGTACCGCACGTACCTCAAATCATATCCAAGCACCTACTAAGGAATCCCAAGAATCCTTCCTCAGCTGGTGTTCTTGTTAATCCATCTGTCCTGATCTGCCGCCTCGTATCCAGCCAGGCCAACCCGCCGTCTGTGATTAGTGGTACCATTTCTTCCTTCCTGCTAACCACATCTTTGCTCCTTCAAAACTTCCTTGAGAAATTGTATCAGGAAAATCCCATCCAATTTGTGATTTCTGGATGAGTGGGGTAGGCTGGGCTACTGGAGTTCCTTTCCTTTTTCAGTCTTGAGTGATTTTACACACAGCTCCTGATTATCCACGCTGACGGAGGGGTGGCAGTGGGGTTACTTCAGATTTCTGTCCTAAGTAGTTCTGATTACCACAGGCCGTTCACTTTGTTGTAGGCCTACCTGTTAACGCCTAGGCCAGGTTGATGTTGAAAGCGGCAGGAAGTGCAGGAGAGAAGGCCTCAAGGTGTCCAGGGGCCAGGGAGGCCAGCGGGGGATTAGAAGTCTGCAGTTGCACGTGGGTCGCAGCGCCTCTGTTGCGGTGTTGGCTTGTTAGCAGCAAAGAATGGTTTTGATGTCCCTCGAGGGCGTTCTGTGTTTATTCCCCTGACTAGCCTCTCCGTCTTACAGGCAAGCTGGCACCCTCGGTACAACCTCATTGTCGTGGGTCGGTACCCAGATCCTAATTTCAAAAGTTGCGCTCCCTACGAACTAAGGACGATTGACATGTTTGACGGAGGCTCAGGGAAGATGATGTGTCAGCTCTATGACCCAGAATCTTCTGGGATCGTTTCGGTGAGACTCGGGCCCTCCAATACTGATGGGAGGAAGCAAGCATTCGATCTACCTCATTACTGACCCCAGTGACCCGGAGTTAGTCCTCTGTGCCCCGCCCTGTGCCTCCTGATTCCTTCACCCTGCTCATGCTGATACTCTTGTCTTTGCAGCTTAACGAGTTCAATCCCATGGGGGACACACTGGCCTCCACAATGGGTAAGTAGAAGCAGGACAGACCAGCCACGCCCGACCCTCCCTGCTATGCCAGGTTCGGTGCAGAATAACCAGCTGGGCCCTGTCCATTTACCCCAGCGCTGCAGCCAGCACAGACCATTGGGAGACAGTCTCTTTGGCCTAGGCCTCCCTCCCTCTTGTTTTGTCTTGGTCATGGTAGTGCCTGGATGCTGTCCTGTCCCCTAGTATTTACTCACTGGACCCTAGGTTCTCAGGGCCAGCCCCAAGCCCTCAGAGATGGATAACGGAAGGCGTTCTCACTTCTCTTAGGTTATCACATTCTCGTTTGGAGCCAGGAAGAAGCTGGGGCACGGAAATGAGTGACGTTAAAGGTGTGGGGCAAGCATCCGCTTGGAGCCTACAAACGGGGACAAGCCTGGCGGGAAGAGGCGGCACTTTGTCAAAGGGCCAAAAGGATCCGAATCTGCGGGTTGGGGCAGGGGCACTGTGGGACTGGCACACAGGCGTGTTACTGTACTTGGAGAGCTGGTGACCCAGCCCTCCGAGGGGCTCTGTCTGGCCGGAGCCCAGCGACCTTTCTCCTCTCTGGTGTGTGGCGGGTGAGTGATCAGGGAGTGCTGTTTGATTTGTGCTCACCGTTGGCGGCCAATAAAACCATTCCCACCTGAGCTGTCGAGAAAATCTTCCAGCACTGACCTGGTCAGAGGGCTCCTGGGGTCCAGGAATGAAGAAAAGGCACAGAACCAGCGCTCAAAGTCCACAGCTTTCATTCTCCGGGAGCTGCCTCCGCGGGTCCAGCTCGCAGCCTGCACTCACCTCAGGCCCCTGGAGACCCCAGCCCAGCTGAGGGAGAACACTTCTTGATTCTGACGGTCCACTGCCCACCCACCGCCCGCACCCTCCCAAGTACAGTCCCAGCACCCTTTGATCTGCTTGCGCCCAAGGGTACCAGGAACACTGTCTGACTAATGGTGGCTTCAACCCGACAAAGGGAAACCTGTTTAGGTCAGCTGCTTCCTTGGTAGCTGATGAGTGTACCCTCAGCACTGAGAGGCAAGACTGTCCTCTGAGCCATCTGCCAAAGATTCCAGGCTGGAGGGGAGCGAGCGGGGCGGATCAAGCACCAACTCCTTCCGGTTTTTATCCCAGGCCCTGCGTGAAACCTTAGTAGTTGTCTATGTCTCAGGTCCTTAGGAAGTACAGAAGAGGCAGGTCCTGCTTGGAGAAAGCCAATGTCCAGCACAGCATTTGGTAAACATCAGGCGTGTGAGTGCTGAGTGACAGATGCCATGGCTGAGCCAAGCTCCACTTGCTCATCTGGGCTGGGGTGATCACAGGGAGTTCCGACCCAGTCTCCTGTCCATGGGCCGGGGAGCAGCAAAGTCAGGAGCAAGGGCCAGCCCACCTCCCCTAGGAGGCGGAGGGAAGGGGGCTGAGTGGTTGTCAGGCATGGTCCTCCCCATCGGCGACGTGGTGGTAGCCAGGAGGCTGGGCCTGCATCCGGAAGAGGACAGTGAGGAGCAGCACTATGAGAAGGAAGAGGATGGAGCCACACACAGCCAAGGCCACGATCACCTCTGGGCAAGGGGGAGGAAAGAAAAGTCAAGTCAGTGTGCATCCAGCAAAGATGTAAGCCCCTGCCACAGGCCAGGCACGTGTTCAGATACACAGGAGACGCATGGGCCGAGGTGGCCGGGACGGTTCCTCTGCCATCATGGAGTTCACATTCTAGGAGAGGAGATCTAATAAAGAAGCAATGATAGGAATGGTAGGTTAGGGACAGATGCCAGAAGGGAGAACACAGTAAGGCAGGTCAGTCAGCGAAGGCATGGCTGAGGAAGTGAGGATTTGAACAGACCCAGAGTCAGTGCCTGGGACACACAACAGAGGTGACCTGGGGCAAGGACAGGAAGCAACCACAAGAGGCTCTGACCTAGGATCAGCAAGCCAGGGAGGGGGCTGAGAACCCAGTGAGTAGGGCCTGGAAGGCCAGGATAAAGACCTTGGGTTTTACTCCCTACACATCTGGAAGACCTGAAGGAGGACAGGGACGTCAGCTGACTTAGATAAAAAAAAGAGACAACAGGAAGCTTTTCAGTCCTGGCAGGAGCATGGAGTAAGGGGTCCGAGCTGCCAGTGGGTTGGTGTGGGGTGTGGAAAGGGTATTCACGGGAACTCCTAGGTTCTGCCAAGGAGACTGATGTGGCAGTCACTAAAATGAGGAAGCCTGGAGGAAGAGCAGGTTTTGGGGGAAAAGCATTTCATTTTAGACAGCTGGCTCTGAGGTGTCTTGTTTGACAACGTAAAGACCTCAGGCTCGTGGCAGGATCTACGTGTAGCTTGGGGGGGGACGTCATGAGTCTGCAAGTCAGAACACAAGATGAACTCGGCGTGGTGGTGGTGCACAAAGCAGAGGCCCAAGACATCAGCCAGGTTCGAAGCCTGGGCCAGCACTCGTTTAGTGGGGGAAGGAAATCACTAAGGAAACTGCCTGGGAGTTAGGATAAAAACTGGGGGAGCCAAGAAAGCATTTAAGGCCAGAGTGACCGATTACGGAATGCTGCTGGAAGAGAAGCTAAGAATTGGTCACCTTGACAAGAGTGGTTTCAACGCAAGGGACAAACAGTGGTAGCTGATGAAAGATGGCAGGGGTCTGTCTGTTAGCTTTTGATCTGGGGGTGACCCCATAGAGGAGACACAGGCATCAGAAGTCCCTGTGGAAGGGAGAGAGACATGGAGTCTAAGTGGAGAGGTTGCCCCAAGTGGTGGCGTATCCCTACTGCTAGAGATGGGAGAACGAGAGGGCTCATATACGGCCTCACCTTGGGCTGGGAGGGGGAGGGAGGTGCCTGTGGTCGCCTGCTGCTCTCGCGCTCTGTGGGTGGGAGCTGAAGCTGGCCTGTGCCACAGCTAGTGTCGAGGCGGGCAGGGGCTCACCTGTATCTGCAGTCTGGCCTGCCAGCTGGCACTCCTGCTGCCAATCCTTGGGCACAATAGGCTCTGTGAGACGAAGGAAGTCCTGCAGGGGGCAGCGGTGAGGGCACCCCGGCAGGATCAGCGGCCAGGGGGCCTTGTTACTCTCATTCCGGAAGTACATCTCCACGGAGAAGTTCCTGAGGGCCGACAGGAGGCGACAGGGGCCTGTGACCGAGTCCTCGGCTGCCCTCAGTCACCAGGCAGGGGCACCTCCAGGCGACAGACTGCACTCACCCATTATCTTCCTGGTACAGTTCAAACATGTGACAGGAGGCGTAGGGAGCCTGTTTACCATTGTAGACATCCAGTGCCATCTGCAGGGCGACCAGTGTGGTGTCGTGCTGCAAGACAGAGGGGCTGCCCATCAGCACGGCCCCCCAGGACCCCTGGAAACCACACAGAAATCCAGCTCCCTGCTTGCTAGCACCCCGGAGCTTACCGCAGAGTAAACCAGCAGCTTAGGGAGTTGAGACGTGGTTGCCATTAGCGTCAGGTTCTTCCGTATCTGAGCCAGCAGGACTCCTGAGGGACAAAAGTCCCCAGCGTCAGTGGCTACAGCGTCACCGAGTCCTCACCAGGCTATCTGCGCCCCTCACCCTCTGCCAGTCCTGGTTCTGGCATCCACATAGAATTCTGAGCCCATGGGGACCATGCAGGAACTCTACACAAAGCCCCCTACTCTCTAGGAACTTCCATACTTCCAGGAGGAAGCAAGATAAAATAAGGGATCTCTATAAACACAGGCGTAGAAACACGCACATTTATTAACGAGCCATGAGGCCCTGCCCATATTTGAAGAATTACTCCAGTTTGGAAGCAATGTAATTTTTAAGCTTGCTTCAGAACGGTGGCTGTGTGCCAAGGTCACTGTCTAAGCAGACTCTGGGAGCTGCAGCTCAAGGGCCCCTGGGCGCCCAGACAGGTAATGGCCCCTGTGTGGCTCTCAGCCTGCTCTCAGGGTGGCCCTCGGTGTTCTCTGGAGGGTGGTCCTCACTTAGGAGACAGGACGGCTCTGATGGGAGAAACCTCGGATTCTGAATGGCAGAAAAGCAGAATGCAAGCCTGACTGGCCAAGGGCGAGGCATCAGGAGAAGTGGGGAGATGTAAGAAGGCCCCATAGAAGATTTTCCACGCCGGAGGTCCCAAGGGGTGTGACATGCTGCTCTCGCCACTCACCGCCCTGAAGCCTGGCCTTCTCCGCCTGCTCGTAGATCCCGAAGAGGAAGCGGAAGCTGAAGTCCTTTAGGCGGCTCAGGCGCTGCATGGTTTGGGGTGAGGCCCAGGGCGGCAGGAGCAGCCCGTGTGTTTGCTGTGTATCGCAGCAGCGGGCAGGTTAGCTCCCCAGGCCTAGGCCTGAGCCTCTCCTGGGGGCAGCTCTCTTCCCCCGGAGGGGAGGTGCCTGTGTGTGTGAGGCAGGGGGAGGAGAAGTGAGGTGGGGGCTGGGGCCGCTGCACGTGGCGGCCACTGTGGGGCTGCAGGGCCCAGGACAGGAAGCTCAGGCTGAAAAGGGGCACTCAGCAGAAAGGGTGGAGGGTGTGAACTGCTGACGGCCCAGAAAGCATTTCCCACTCAGGGGTCTGTTCTCACCCGCCAGGAAGTCCCCGTGTTTCACAAGCAGCGGCCTGTCTGGGCCTCAGTGGGAGTGGCAGGGTCCGGGCATGGGGTTCCACCGTCCCAGCCACCTGGGCTGCTGAGGGGCAGACAAGAGTCCCCACGCCCGGCACCCCAGCGGCTCACCTCACAGAAGAGCGTGTCGTAGACGTTCCAGACGGTCTCCAGCGTCACGTCCGTCAGCCCTGTCTCGTTGGCCACCATGTCCAGAAATTGCTATGGAACATGGAGCCGGGGGTCAGCCCCGTCCTGGGGGAAAGGGCGGTCGGAGGGCCCCCACCTCAGCCCCACTCACTGCATTCTGGACGCTCTCGCTCTGGTACTCGGGTGTCTGGCGGGTTTCATTCTGTAGCTGCTCATAGCGGGGACAGGGGCCCAGTGGGAACTTCAGCAGCTGTAGGCCACAGAGGGGAAACAGGCAGAGAGGGAGTCCGGGGTCAGCAGGCCCACGGCCAGTGAAACGGTCCTGCCCCTCTCCAGGGGAGGGCTGGCCAGTCTTACCCTGTCCTCGGCGATGGGCACTGTGTGAACAGGGATCGGCTGCCATGAGATGTTGGGGTTGAAGCGCTGCACCCCGGTGGGCGGGAACAGCCCCGCCAGGTTGGCCTCTGCACTCATGAGAGTCCGGTCAAAGTCTGTGCTTCGCACATACACCTGCAGGAATGACGACGTGAGACTCACCCGCGTGGGGCCCCGTGGGGAGGACCTGCACCTGCCAGCTGCCCAGCAAATGGAAACCCCATCATGCATCTGGCCTTCCACATCTCTCAAGGCCCTGTCACCACTCTCAGGAACACACCCCGTGGGAACGAATCAAGTTCAAATGCCCCTTCTTCCTGGTCTAAAGTGCTTAGTCAGGAAGGCTCTCTGGCCTGTCCATCTGATTTCAAAACATCCAGACCAGGATCCCTGAGGGCAGGAACTGCATCCAATCACTCCCCACACCCCCTTCCATAAACTGGCTTAGAGACCAGTGAGAAAAACACAAGATAAGGAACAGAGAGAGTTGTTTGTGAAGAGGGAGGAGGAAACTGGGGCTCAAGATAGGGCTGGGGCTCAAGCTGGAGGCTTTTGCCAGCTGTGGCTGAGTGGTGGCCAGAGGAACAGCCCCTCCTGTCCCCGGGCTGGGGAAGGACCTGAGAGCCTTTATCTTGGCCCAGGCTGGCTTATCACATCACACTCTACACTCCTCTCTTTGATTTGCAGTTTCTGAAAGGCAGAGAGACAGAGGTCTTCCATCCGGTGGTTCACTCCCCAAATGCCCACAACAGCCAGGGCTGGGAACTCAGTCCAGGTCTTCCATCTGGATGGCAGGGACCCAAGCACTTGGGCCATCGTCTGCTGCCTTCCAGGGTGTGTGTGAGCAGACAGGTGGATGAGAAGCAGAGCCATGGCTCACACCCAGGCACTCCAATATGAGACGCAGGTGTCCAAAGCAGCGCCTTAACCACTGCACCAAATACCTGCCCTGCTCCACTACATTCTAAGCTCCACGAAGGCAGAGCTCCTATCTGTGTGGGGTCTGTACCACTGTGCTAGCCCAGTACTTGGCCCTTAATATTGTCAGTCCTCAACATGTCTTAGCTGCAAAGCCTGTTGTTCTGAATCAGAAACTATGCCAGGCCTTCCTGAACTCAGTGTGGACACTTGATCAGCTTTGCCTCTTCCCAGCCAAGCAGGAGCAACTAGGCCTCTGGGAATGTGTTCTAGACAGTTATCAGCTGTTATGTCCTATGGGTGTAACCATAAACACGGGAGGGAGGTCAGAGTGTCGGCCTCACCCTTACGCTCCCTGAGGGCAGAGGTCGAGGACAACAGATCCCAATCCCCTTGCTCTTGAGCTCCCAGCCGTACCTCTTGCCGGTGGTAGGAAGTGTTCAAAAAGCCGTGGTATCGCTGCCGCAGAGCCTGGCCCAGCTCCCAGTGTTGCAGCATCCCCTCCTGTGGGCAGACCCAAGGGTTAGAGGGCCCAGGGGGGAAGGGATGGCCCGCAAGTCCCGCGGAGTTTGGGGCGCTGCTTTCCAGGTTTCTGCCCAGCTGGAAGTGGGGGTGGGTTATCTGCTCCCCGAAGTCTTGTATCAAGTGGCCGGTGTGCACGGTGGAGTCCTAGTCACACAGTAATGGAAGGTGTGGAAATCTGCTCAAAGTCAGCGCTCAGGTGGGAAGCAGCACTGTAGGGGCCCCCGAGTTCCTGTAACCTGTTTCAGAGGTCATTCATTCTACAGGTCATCTAAAGGGAGGGCTGGCTCCTGACCTACCTTGGTTAGTTGCCCAAAGCCCTGGGGCCATTCCTCTTCCTGATATGGGTCCTTGGGATACGTCTTCACTGGTGACCGGTCTCCGTGTCTGTACAGCTGACCAGAGAAAAAGACTTGACTTGATGGGAACACAGAGCCCACCTCTGCCCAATCCTGGGCAAGGAAGTCTCATCTCTCTGGGAAGCCTTAACACTCCCCACTGCCAGAGAGCCCAGTTCAGGAGTCAGTAACTTCCTCCAGGTTCCAGAGGTTCTAACTTGGCCAAGCCATACCACCAGAAACCACAGGCAAAGCCCAAGGCACAGGTGGAAAGGGAAAACAAACCAAAGCGATGCATGGTGTGCGGAAGCTGGGGTAAAAAAGGACACCAACAGCGCGTCTTTGTGGTTGGTCTCTCAGCCACTCAACTACACCTCTGTCCCAGGGCAGACTCGACCTACCCTAAATACACAGGTCCTTCCTGGGACGCTCTGCCTCGCAAATAACCCAGGGCTCCTAAATCCTCCAGGCCAGTTGTCCTCTCCTAAACCAGCTCCCCGTCCTGGAGACCCTCGACCCCCAGCACAAGCTCTGCCCCTCCCTCCACCAGCAGGCCTTTGCCTTTCCAGCTGCGGCGAACCCTTTGGTGACTCTGTCTCTCATTACCAAAGTAACGAAGCGCAGACTCCGGCCCTGAGCAGGTGGCATCACAATCAGGTTCACGCCCAGAAGGACCTGGAGAAGAACCGCTCGGCTGCCGCCGAACGGTCTGCCCGCCATCACCGCTGTAGTCTGCAGCAAAGAGACCGGAACCCTCTGGATGACACCTGCAGCAGCCGCCCGGACGCACCCGTAAGGGCACACGCCGGAAGTGCGCTCGTCGCCATCTTGCTAAGGGAGGGGCAGGGATAGTAGGGGAGTGAAACACCGGGGAGGGGGTGCTTGGAGGAGGCTCGCGATTTGGATTAGGCGGAGGAGCGTGGGAATGTAGCCTGGCCTCGCGTGGCGGAAAGGGTTTGAAGATTTCTTTTTGGTAAAGGCGGTCACGAGGTCGGGTCTGCCTCTGCCCGTACTGAAGTAGCGATCGCACTGGGCGGCCGCACAGCCGAGGGAGCGAGCGCCCTCTTGGGGGTGCTGCTGGATCCAACCCCAGTGTCCGCGGGTACAGAATTGGGGCGAGGGGCGGGGACGTGCGGGGCGCCCCTCTCCACGCCCCTGCCTTCGGGAGGAGTTTGAGCCTTGGCCCCGGCCCTCGTCGCCGGCAGAGATCTTCTCTGGGGTGCAGGGCACAACGTGTCAACAGCCCTCTGGACCGTCTGTGGCCTTGAGGTTGGTTGCCATCTAGCCTGCTAGTTCCCCGAGCAAAGCTTCAGCAGCGCTCGCACTTGAGTCGTTTCCCTCCTCCCGTGCACTTGGCGAGTTTTTGTTAAGAGTCGGACGTCATACCTCTTCCCAAAGGAGTTGGGTTGGACAGGATGTTCAGACTTTCCTGACCCAAGGCACTGAATCCCCAGGGGAGGAGGGGAGGAATCTCCGCCCATTGGGGAGATGTTTGTTTTTTTTTTTTTTTTTTTTTTTTTTTTTTTTTTTTTTGCGGATAAAGTGAGAGTAGGTGGGATTTCTGCAGACGAAGAGGCCCTCTTGGTTTGGGCTGTTAGGATTCAGGTGCTATCAGTTTGGTCTCAGGACTTTGTGACTCAGCCCGGAGTGACGTATTTTAAGGAGGTCAGAGCACAGGCCCTTGAGATGCTTTAATTCAGATCTGCCCACGGGAAGCCAATCAGCACAGATCATCGGGAACCAAAATTGATGAGCATTGCCTGTTGTTATCTTGCCCTAGAACTCCAAATTCAGTTGTTTGTGTTTATCTGTCTCAGGATCTGAACTTGCTCCCAAAGTTGTCATGGAGGGGGCTGGGGAATGCATGGAAGAAGAGCTGAAGACAGGATCGACAAGTTGTTTTTAACTGTTGTATGTGGCCGCAGCCCCTCGATGAATCAGGCGAAAATTTAGCCAGCCCCCTCTCCTACAGAAAAATGTCCACACAGACAAACACACATGCTTCGGAATTTACAGTCTAGGGAGCTTCCTGAAGACCCTCGTAGGTTTCACAGAGCAGCATCTTTTGAATCCCTAACCTAACCTAGTCTTACTTTACATAGTAGGAAACAAATCCAGAGGAGGTGGTTTTCCCCAGCTTGCAGATTTCAGGAGAATGGAGTGAAACTCAAGTCCTGTTTCCCAGTTAAACAGTCGTTATAATAATGGGCTGTTTCTTGCTGGCTATTCAAACTGCATTTCTAAACTATATTTGGTGGCCCCAAAATACCTTCAATGAAGAGATTTCTACAAAAAAAAAAAAAAAAAGATTGCTGTGAAAGGAAACCTCTTCACTGTACTGAGATTGAACAGGAGCCTGGCTAACTGGCAAAATACTGCGTGTTAGCAGACTTTCGGGGAGTGTTTTGTATCAGGGTGCCCCTCACCCTCTTCATCAACTGGCCAGGCGATTGTGCTTTCAGAATACAGAGCTCAGGCTCACCAAATTGTAGCAAGGAGAACAAAACTCTCTTAAATCATCTTTTGTTTTTCTTCCCACTTGCTCAAGTATGTCTACATCTTTTTGTGGCTGCAAGTATCCCGTGTAGGAGGGATTGATGAAGCAGATATTTCAATATTTATGGTGAGAATCATTCCAGGAAGGACAGGGATTATGATAGGGCTTGGTAGCCAGGGAGCTGTCCCTTACCCTCACCTCTGCATATTGTCTAGCAAATAATTCTGTGAGCCGCACACCTTGGTTCCTGATGGCAGATGCAGAGAACTATAGATGGCGAGAGAGGTGGAGCCAGGGGCCATATTCCATACCAAAGAAATCGGCATCTCTGATAGTGGGCGAGGTTTGGGCAAAAACAAACCCCAATCCAGGTGCCGTGACCCTTTTCCCCATCTGGGGTGGAAGTTTTGTGTAATGAGTGAGGGCTGTGGGGGAGTGGGAGTTGTTTGTTTTTTGTTTTAGTTTGAGCTTGAGTTTTTGAATGCCTGTATTCACGTTTAATATTTACCCCTGGCTGCCAAGTAACTCCTAGGGGTTATTGTGAGGATAAGTGAAATAATACATGCAAAAATAAATATGTGTAGAGAGCCTGAATAAACGTTACTTTTCTTCTTTCTTGTATGCCTCTGTTTCACGTCTGAACTCAGGCCTGGAAAGCAGGAGTTCCTGGATTCTTTATCTTGTGCCTGGGAGGTTGGGCGGAAGTCACTTGCAGGTACCCAGTCGTCTGCAAGATGATCCCCACACTTCCCACCTTCCCAGAATGGTGAAGGTCGGGGCGGGAAGCACTCGACCCAGTTGGTCCCAGCAATCCTTACCGTGTGCCTGCTTCCTACATATGGATGAGTATTTCGGGGAGAGTTATCTGGAAGCTTTCTTGGCTGGTGAATGCTCCTATTTCTGCCTCAGGGTTTTCTTTTCTTTATTCCTTTTTAAAAGTTTATTTGAAAGGCAGAGTTACAGGGAGATAAGTAGAGACACAGAGAGATTTTCCATCTGCTGGCTCACTCCCCAAGTGGCCACACCAGCCAGGTTTGAGCCAGGCCAAAGACAGGAGCCCAGAGCTGCTGCTTCTGGGTCTCCCACATGGGTGGCAGGGGCCAAGCACTTGGGCCATTTTCCGCTGCTTTTCCCAGTCCATTAGCAGGGAGCTGGATTGGAAGTGGAGCAGCCATATGAGATGCTGACATTGCAGGCACTGGCTTTACCTGCTATGCCACGATGCACGCTCCTGCTTCAGGGTTTTCCCTGCTAGAAGCTTCTAGAAGGTCTGGGATTCAGGAAACGTGAGTGTGGTGTGTACAGGGGGAGGAAGTGGTGGTGTGGCACAGTGAGTGGAGCTGCGGCTTGGGACATCCGTGTTGCATATCACAGTGCTTGAGCCCCAGCTCCTCTGCTTCTGACCCAGCTTCCTGTAAGCAGCAGATGATGGCTCAGGTGCCTGGGCTCCTACTGCCTGCATGGGAGACCTGGATAAAGCTCCAGGCTCTTGGCTTGGACTTGGTACAGCGCCAGCATGTGCAGTCATAGGCAGAGTGAACCAACAGATGGTCTGTCTGTCTGTCTCTCTCTTGCTCTGCCTTTCAAGTAAATAGAAACATTACAAAAAAGAAAAATGGGTTGGCATTGTGGCCCAGCAGGTTAAGCTGCCATCTACAGTGCCAGCATCCCACGTGAGTGCCAGTTCAAGTCCTGGTTGCTACTCTTCTGCTGATCTAGCTTCCTGTTGATGCACCTGGAAAAGCAACTGAAAATGGCCCAAGTCCTTGGGCTCCTGCACCCATGTGGGAGGCCCAGATGGAGTTCCTGGCTCCTGGCTTCAACCTGGTCCTGCCCCAGCTATTGCCACCATTTGGGAATTGAACCAGTGGATGGAACATCTCTTTCTCTGTTTCCATCTCTCTGCTTCTCTGTAACTCTGCCTTCCCAATAAAAAAAAAAATCTTTTTAAAAAAATGTCATTTTGAAAGCAGGCATTTAGACTGGTGGTTAAGTTGCCCTCATTCCGTGTCAGAGTGCCTGAATTCAATACCTGGCTCCGACTCCTGATTCCAACTTCCTGGAAACGGGCACACTGGGAAGCAGCAGTCCTGGCTCAGGTAGTTGGGTGCCTGCTGCCCACACTGGGGACCTGGATTGAGTGGACCCCAGCTTCAGCTCAACTCAGCCATTGCAGCCACTTGGGGAATGAGTGTGTGGATGGGAGTGCTGTCTCTGTGCTTCTCAAATAAGTAAAGAAATAAAATTTTTTATGTGACTTGGGAGATCCCTGAGAGTATTCTCAGGGATGTTACCTTGGATGTTGAGCCCAGGAGACAAGGAAATGTGCACACGCCTGGGAGGCTTTGGGCCTCACACTGTGCCCGCTGGTGGGAACTGTGCCATGGGGCAGGGAATGGCAAAGTAGGACATGTGATTCCAGCTGCGGGTCACCTGACTGCTTGCCCTGGCTTGCGGCAGAAGCCCCAGCGGTTGTGCTCCGGAAACTTTGTGGAAATACCACCACCAAGTTTTGGTCTTCCCCCTTTTACTCTCCCTTCCCCTCTGGAGGGTTCTAGAAGCCACTAGAACCTGAAGGGGGGCAGTTCTGGCAATGAGGTGCTGGTGATAACTTCTCCCTGCAGGAGACAAGGCTAACCACCCCACCCCACCCCCAGCCTGGGGGAGCTGAGGCCCTGACCTATTAATTCAGCACATGGCTCTTGCCTGTGCCAAAGCCTCCAGATGGGGCTGTGTGTGGTCTTGGGAAGCCACCTGGGAGGAGACTGTCCTGTGACAAGAGGAGTTGAGGGGTGGAGGGGTGAGTGAGGCTTTTCCTAGGGCACACACCAATGCTACATCCCCAGTTCCTTGAAACCAAGTCTCAGAGATGTCTGCCGTGCCACGCTGCGGTGGTGGAGCTTTGGCAGTGCGGGAGGGGGAGGGTGTGGGTCAGTGCTGTGGCTCCTGGCAGGGAACAGTCCAGTCGCTGGAGTCTCTAAGCTTCTACTTTCTCTGGGCTGCGGGGGCCTTGTGAAAATCGGAGAAAGGAATACGGGTGAGAAGAATGGGGAGCCTTGTGCTCATGACTCAGATGCCCAGACCAGGGTGGGGACCGTGTGAGGTGTGACCTTGTGACGAGAGGGAACAAGAGCAAACGCTGGAGGCAGAAGTTTGTGATGGGAGTGCCCGAGGGGCTTTTCTGATCTGTGAAAAACGAATGCATGGGCAGATTTTGCAACACCGCCCGGGCTGCCGTCCTCCCAAGTCTGCACCCCAACACCATGGTTCCCCCTGCCCCACCCTGCGCTTCCTCCCATCTCTCCCCCGGCTCCTTCAGCCCTCCCTGGCTTTCTGTCCCACCCCCACCTCCACGTCCACACTTCTCCCATTCCCTCTGTTCTGCTCTTCCCTGGTGCCCCGTTCATCTCCCGTTCATCTCCGTTTTGGTCCCTCTGGCTGCCTGCCCTGGCCCCCTGCCCTTTTATGCTTTAATGCGGGGCCCATGGGAACTGGAGTTCACATCAAAACAGGAAGAGCCCGTGAGCAGGAAACTGGGAATGGGGCAGGGGGTGAATGACCAGCAGTAACCCCTGCTCCTGCCTCTGCAGTGCTCTGCCTCTCCTGCACCCCACCAGCCCCCGCCTCTTCCGTCTCAGTGCCTCACTGCTCCCCCAGGCCTGAGGGGCACAGGGACTGGAGTGAGGACATCTGGATTCGGAACCCGGCTCGGCCACTCACTGTGTGGTCCTGGAAAAGGCACTCACTGGAGCTCCAGTGTTCTCTGCAATGGAGAGTGGGTTATTTACCCTCTCCCTTCCCTTGTGGGGAGGCCCTAAGAGCTCTGATTTGTAGATGGAAACAAGCAAGCACCCAGAGGTTAGCAAAACACACATTCAAGGTGGCGGGAACAGTCCTAGCCCAGAGGATTGGGTGGGTAAGGATACTGTTTCTTGAGCACTTACTATGTGACACATGTGCTGTGATAGGTTCAATTCTCACAACAGCACTATGATGCAAAACCCATTATCTCTGTTTTAAAAGCTAGGGAAACAAAAGTTCAGCAGCATTAAGTAACTCGCTGGTGCTAACAAGTATGGGATAGAAGAGGATCCTATTTTGTTTACTTATACATCCTACAAACAGGAAACCCTGTTGCCTCCTCTTTGCAAAGCCCAGTCCCAGGGTTGTTGGGGAGATAAAATTGATGAACTGTGGTGTCTCCTTTCAAGGATGGCTTTCCTGTCCCAGACGGGGCAGGACGGCTGGGGCCCCAGCATATGCTAGAGGGAGCGTGCCTGCCTGCCTTCGGAAGGGCTGTCGCCCAGCCAGGCAACCTGCATACCTTCCATGGGCCATCCCTGGGTTGGCAGCCATCTGCTACCCCCACCCCCGTCCCAAGCCTGACATGGCTCAGAGCGGACTTCCCACCGCCCTCTCTCCTGGCCTCGGTTCTCTGTGGACCCACACACAGAGACTCCCTGGAAGCCTCAGCACCTGCCTCTCTGCACCCCTGGAATTTTCCCAGCTTGGCAGAGGCCCTTGGCTGGTGGGGAGAGCTTCTTGGCCCCTTCCCAGAGCAGGGGAGGAGGACGGAGGCTGGGAACGCAGGCTGGGGCTCGGTGTCGCAATTCCGGGCCGTGCCGGGACCTTTGCTCCGCGAAGTGTCTATGGAGGGGAGGGAACGCTGACTCTGGAGGCTGCCGGGATTGGGGTGGGGGGTGCCTGGGAAGCAGTTCTTGAGCGCAAAGAGCCACTGGGGTGAGGAGAGCAAAGGGACAGACGTGGACCTGGGCCGGTGTGCAGGGCCATGCGGCTGCCTGGGCTGGGGGTAGGGGGCAGCGGCGGCACGGGGCGGAGGGGCGGCCGGCCGGGGAGGAGTCAGCCCGGTGGGAAAGCTGCCCTGTGGGCGGGGGCCGAGGAGACCAGGGCTGCGGTCGGCCCCCAGACTGTCAGGCAGGAAGGAGGTGGCTCGACCCCTGGGCAGTCCCTCCCCTCCGCCTTTCCCCACGCTACTACTTCCCCGGGGCTCCAGGTCCCTCCCGCGCGCGGCTCAGGCGCCGGGGCTGGCCGCTGTAGCCTCTGGACTGGGGACTGCACCAGCCTCCCCTAACAGCAAGGGGGCTCCAGAGACTGCGCAGCCCGGAAGTCTGGTGGCCGGGGGCTTCGGTGGGTCTGCTCGCCGGCACTGGCCCTGGCTCTGCGTGGGGGCTGTGGGGCGGGGGTGGGGGGAGGCGGGGCTGGGGGAGGGGGCTGGGCAAGTCCTAAGGACTTTCGACGGGGGTCGCAGGAGAAGCGAGGGATGCTGGTGATGGAAGCCCGGGGCAGGGACCGGACTCTGTTTAGGTCCCAGGGTGACTCCTGAGAACTCTGGAAGAGCAGGTCCGGCCTGTGAATTAGGGAGACCTGGAGGCAGGAGGTTTGTGCTGGGACTCTGCAGAGTGGCAGGAGGGGGGTTGGGCAAGCCTCCGGCCAGTCTCCTCTGACAGGAGCAGGACAGATGTGCCCAGGTGTTCTCCGCCGCCCGGAGGGAGGCTCTGGGGGAGAAAGGTGGCTGAGAGCTCAGATTTTAGAATCGGCAAGACCAGGGTTGGATGGAATCCTGGCTCTATCACTGCCTAACTGTGTGGCCATCGGCAACTTAATCTCTGTGAACCTCAGTTTCCTCGTCTGTTAAATGGGTTTGAGTCCTCCTAACCTTGTAGAGCTATCATGCAGAAGGCATGTAAAGCCTCAGCGCAGGTTAATTAGTACACGGCAAGTAAGCTTCAGCTGGTGGTACTGCTACCTGGCAGGACCAGGAGAAGAGAAGGGAGCTGAGGCGTGAACGGAGCCCGGTTCTGGAAGAGTGTAACCTGGGTCGTTCCTGCAGGACGGTGCCTTGGTAATGTCCAGGGCGCCAGGAAGAGATGTCCCTGTGGCTGGAGGCCCCTGTGCCTGATGTTTCTCCTGGTAAGCGTCCTCATTCCAGCCCTCTCCCCCGAGCCCGGGCTCTGGCTCCTCCCCTCCCTCAGGAATCAGTGGTCTTCATCACCTGCATTCTGCCTTCCTCCCGAGAGTAGCCAGAGCTTGCCTCTGCCTGCCTCTGGCACCTGGCCCTTGCACGCACTGCCCAGTGCTCCCCAGCCTGGGCCCGCTGCTGGGAGAGAGCTGGCATGGCTGGTGCTCACCCCGCTCTGGAGCCGGGGAGCTCGACATGGATGCGCACCCGCGTCCCAGGGGCAAAAAGGTTAACATCTTCATTTAAGTTAGCCTGAGGTGCAGGCGACTCCAAGCGACCGTTCCGAGAGCCGTCAGAAGCCCTGGGGTCTCAAAGCCTGAGCTGGGACTTGGCTGCCCTCTAAGGGTGGAAATAAGGTTGCAGTTTCCCAGCCGGGATGCTGGGGAAGTAGAGGCGGCCCCGGGGCCCGAGACCCACTTGTGCCTTTCCGGGCTTAGACTCTGCCGTGGAGCTGTGGGAGCCACGTGCACAAGATGCAAGCAGCCAGGCGCAAGCAGCCAGCAGCTGTACCCTCAAGGACGAAGCCAGGACACCCCAATCTGCTGGCAGTGCCTTGGGGGCGGGGCTGGAGGCAGCAGAGCCCACAGCCCTGCTCCCCAGGGTGGAGGCCCCCGCAGAGCCCACAGGTGAGCAGCTGCTGCATTGTTTTGAGGGGGTAGGGACTCCCTGGAGCTGGGAGGGGTATCTTGAAATAATCTCCTTAAGCCCAAAGACTGGAGTCAATTGGACCTGTGTGATCTGAGTTTTGTCCATAGCTTGGACCTTTCTGTGCCTCCTTCTCTTTATTTGCAAAGTAGAAATAATGATGATCGTTGACATAAGGATCGAGGCTTATAAAGAGTTTGCACAGTACCCAGGACGTGGTGGCCTTGGGCGAACCAGATCCGATCTTATCACTGAGACCGGAGTCTGTATAACGGAGGGAATGCAGGTCGCCGCGTGCCCAGGGCAGAGGCCGAATTCAGGGAGAACATCACGGCTCTTCCCTGTTGTCCAGAGCTCCGTCCACAAAAGCGGAAGAAGGGGCCAGCCCCGAAGATGCTGGGGAACGAGCTGTGCAGCGTGTGTGGGGACAAGGCCTCCGGCTTCCACTACAACGTGCTGAGCTGCGAGGGCTGCAAAGGCTTCTTCCGCCGAAGCGTCATCAAGGGCGCGCGTTACGTCTGCCACAGCGGCGGCCACTGCCCCATGGACACCTACATGCGGCGCAAGTGCCAGGAGTGTCGGCTCCGCAAGTGTCGCCAGGCTGGCATGCGGGAGGAGTGTGAGTGTCTGGGCGGGGCGCCGGGGGAGAGGGCAGACATGGGCCGGAGCCCACAGGGCCCAGCTGTCTCCTCGAGTGTGGATTAGGTTGCCTTGACGCTACACTGCCTGCTCGCCTGCAGGCTGCAGCCACACACACACCCAGCCCTGCTGTCGCCCCGTCTTCTCCCGTCCTCACGTCCGTCCGGCCCCGTCCTTAGGTGTCCTGTCAGAAGAGCAGATCCGCCTGAAGAAACTGAAGCGACAGGAGGAGGAGCAGGCGCAGGCCGCGGCCGGGCCCCCTCGTGCCCCCTCGCCTCCCCAGGCCCTGCCCCAGCTCAGCCCGGAGCAGCTGGGCATGATCGAGAAGCTGGTGGCCGCCCAGCAGCAGTGTAACCAGCGCTCCTTTTCTGACCAGCTTCGAGTCACGGTACCTGGCGGGCTTGGGGCGAGGCGGCTGTGCCCAGCGCACCTGTTGGGGTCTTGGTGGCCCACTCACAGTGGCTTGCCTCGTCCCGCCTTGCCTCTTGGATAGCCTTGGCCCATGGCCCCAGATCCCCATAGCCGGGAGGCCCGCCAGCAGCGCTTTGCCCACTTCACCGAGCTGGCCATCGTGTCCGTGCAGGAGATCGTGGATTTTGCCAAACAGCTGCCCGGCTTCCTGCAGCTCAGCCGGGAGGACCAAATCGCCCTGCTGAAGACCTCTGCGATTGAGGTGATTGGAAAGGGACTGTGGCAGGGACCTCAGACACAAGGCTGAGGGTAGTGAAGCCCCGCCCCGGGGCAGTGGGGACGGGTGAGGGATCGAACCTTCGCTCCAGGGGGCTGTGTGCCAAGGCGGGCCCCTCCGGTCCCTGTTTGAGGTCCACTGCTTGCATACAGGTGATGCTGCTGGAGACGTCTCGCAGGTACAACCCTGGGAGTGAGAGCATCACCTTCCTCAAGGATTTCAGCTACAACCGGGAGGACTTTGCCAAAGCAGGTGAGAAGTGAGGCCACAGCGGGAGTGCACTGCATGGACAGGTGCTTCTGGTCATCGGTCTGGGTCCACACTGGCTCCGGAGCCACAGGCGCCCGGGGCGTGGGATTGTAAAAGGGAAGCTCCTCTTGTTTTTCCAAGAGAAGAAACTGCTGTGCTGACAGCCCACTCACAGCTGCTCCGGACAGACCCTGGCTTGTGTTGCCTGGGGCCAAGGGGCTTCACGCTGGGTTCCAAGGCTCCTGAAGTGTCACTTTAAAGAAGCAGGGAGGCACCGGCACAGCATTGTCCCCCATCTATAGCCACACAAGGGGCTCTGTTTAAATCTGCATTATACACTATGCTCCTGCGTAGCATTTTGCTAGGAGCAGCCTTGAAAACACACCATGTTAGGAATACTAACAGCAAAAATGAACAAATCCTTCTCATATATGCTCTTTAAGATCACGTGGGCTGTTGCTTCTTTCCTTAATTTTTCGTTGTTAATTTATTTATTAGATACACACACACACACACACAGCTCCCATCCACTGCTTCACTCCTCACTCCTGCCTGCAACAGCCAGGGTTGGGCCAGGTTGAAGCCGGGAGCGAGGAACTCAATCCAGGTGTCCCCCATGGGTGGCGGGGACTCAAGCACTTGAGTCATCGTCTGCTGCCTCCCAGGTACATTGGCATTGGCAGGACGCTGTAATTGGGAGCAGAGCTGGGACCCTAACTCCGGCAGCCCCTTGTGGAATGTGGGCATCCCAACCTGTATCTTAGCTGCTTTGCCAGACGCCTGCCCTCCTCCTTCTCTTTTTCAATTGCTCTGTCTGATGAGCCCAGGCGGGACTGCTCGCAGGCTGAGTGAGCACCTGGGTCCCTGTCTTGTATCTGGAGTATTTTCTCTAAGTACTAGTTCACCTCACTGCCTGCTTGTGCATTCTCTCTCTCTCTCTCTCTCTCTCTCTCATGCTTGCAAGGGGGCCAAGCAGAGGGAGTTTGCTCATCTTTCCTCATTGCTCGTGTTTGTGTTATGGGTGCAGAGCTGGGAAAAGGCGGAAGGCTGAGGGAGTTTTGGAGGAACTGGAGCTGAGGCCAAACAGGAGAGTGAGCCGCTTAACGGCGCAGGGAGTGAGACCGTACAATACAGATGCTGTGACTGTTCTCAGAGCTGCTAGATCCTGGTCTGCAGGGTAGAGCTCATAAAGCCTGCCCTGGTTTCTGGTGACTCAGCCCCCCTCCTGTCCCACTGCAGGCCACGCAGGGAGCTCTCTAGGAAGGCCTCCCTTCACGTAGGGCATGGCCAGGCTGTGTTGCCACCTCTGGCCTTCTGTGGGGCCTGACGTGCAGCCCGACTGCAGAGGCTCCCAACAGGGCTGTCTGATGGCTTGACCTAATTTAAGGCCAGCTCTGCCTTGCTTCTCTACCAAACCACCATTTCCCCAAATAGCTATCATCTCTGATCTCAACCATGACCTTCTCCTCCTCCTTTCTGAACCCTTTCCACTTCTGATATCTCTGCACTCCTTCCGCTGTCGTGGACTTGTGTTATCTAAATCTGCACCTATTTATAGATGTATTTATATAAGCACTTTGGATGCCGTCACGTTTGCCTTTCAGTTCTCATTTCACCAGCGTGGTCTTGGGAAGAAGGAAGAGGGGCTGCACTTTGTCAGGTCTCCTTCCTCTGTATCTACTCTCTTGTGCGGCCCCCCGGGGGAGTGCCCAATGACATGAGCTCATCACGTTAGCAGACACAGGTGCACAACCACATTCTTGAATCTCCTCGTAATCTCTGTAGAAAGGAGCTGTTTGGCACACTTCGGGGGGCTCACAGCTTTACTAAGAAATACTTTCTCAAATGGGACTTGCCCAGTACATGGATCGACAGGCACAACACATTAGGGTGAAAGTTCACGAAGTGACTGATCAAGAAGCCTCAGATGGAAAAGTGTAACAGATGGTTGCTAAAAGAAATCTGAGAAAGCTTAGAGAACAGTGTGGGGTGCAGTGACTGTGAGCGTGGGAGAAGTGTTTGCCAGGTGGCGTGGCTTTAGGTAGTGGGTTGGTGCACTTTAGTCTTCTTTGGTTGTTGTTGTTTTTAAGATTTTTTTTTTATTTGGAAGGCAGAGTTACAGCGAAAGAGGGAAAGAGAGAGAGAGAGAGAGGAAGGGAAGGAGGGAGGGAGAGGGAGAGAGGGAGAAAGAGGGAGAGAGAGAGATCTTTCATGCACGGGTTCACTCCCTAAAGCCAGGAGCCAGGAACTCCATCCTGGTCTCCCACCTGGGTAGAAGGGGCCCAAGCACTTAGGCCATCTTCTGCTGCTTTCCCAGGTGCATTAGCAGAGAGCTGGAAGGGAAGTGGAATAGTCAGCTTATGGCCTGGGAAAGCAGTGGAATATGGCCTGAGTGCTTGGGCTCCTGCATGTGGGAGACCTGGAAGAAGCTCCTGGCTTTGGATCAGCCCAGCTCTGGCCGTTGCAGCCATTTGGAGAGTGAACTAGCAGATGGAAGACCTTTCTCCTTTCTCTCTTTCTCTCTCTCTGTAACTCTGCCTCTCAAATAAATTTTTAAAATCATAAAAAAAAAAAAATGGAACAGCCAGGACTCGAACCCGTGCCCCTATGGGATGTGGGGGTCACATGCTGCAGCTTAACCAGCTGCACCGCAATGGTGGCCCCATACGGTCAGTCTTCTCAGCAAGAAGACTGGTTCCACTTTATTTTTTTTTTAATTTTAATTTTTTTTTTTTGAAGACAGACAGAGGCTCCTATCATTGATTCACTCCCCAAAAGCCTGCAACAGTCAGGGCTGGGCCAGGCCAAGGCCAAGAGACAGGAACTCCATCTGGGTCTCCCAGGCAGGTGCTACTTGAGTCATTAGCTGCCGCCTCTCAGGGTGTGCATTAGCTGGAAGCTGAACTCAGAGCAGGGGGCAGGACTTGAATGCATGCATTCCAATATGGGGTGCCGGTGTCCTACGTAGCCATGCCAGACACCCACCTCTGGGTCTGTTCTTTATCAATTTTTATTATGTAGTCAACAAATACTTATACAGTAGTTACCATTTATGCTATATACTTAACAGGTCTTTATGAGATAGGTACTTTTATTATGTCCATTTCACAGTCAAGAAAACCAAGGCCTGGAGAATTTAATAAACTTACGATCACACAGCCTAGTAAATGGCAGAGCCAGGACTCAAACCCAGGCACCCTGGCACCAGAGTCCACACCCTTAATCACTCTGCCATGTTCCCTCTGGGATGCAGTGTGTGAAATGTATCTCTAGTGTTCAAATAAGTAAGGGCAGTTATCAGGGAAAAAGCCTTCCTTAGAAGTGTCTATTTCTAGAAATATGGAGCCTTCAGAAATTCTAATAACAGAATTATTATTATTATTATTTTTTAAAGATTTATTTATTTATTTTGAAAGGCAGAGTTACAGAGAGCCAGAGGCAGAGAGAGAGAGATAAGTTTTATTTATTTATTTATTTATTTATTTATTTATTATTTTTTTTTAACAGGCAGAGTGGACAGTGAGAGAGAGAGAGACAGAGAGAAAGGTCTTCCTTTTGCCGTTGGTTCACCCTCCAATGGCCGCCGCCGCCACCGTGCTGCAGGCAGCGCACTGCGCTGATCCGATGGCAGGAGCCAGGTACTTCTCCTGGTCTCCCATGGGGTGCAGGGCCCAAGCACTTGGGCCATCCTCCACTGCACTCCCTGGCCACAGCAGAGAGCTGGCCTGGAAGAGGGGCAACCGGGACAGAATCCGGCACCCCGACCGGGACTAGAACCCAGTGTGCCGGCGCTGCAAGGTGGAGGATTAGCCTAGTGAGCCGCGGCGCCGGCCGTATTATTATTATTATTAATGTAGTCCAGCACCTGCGTGCCAGACAGGGCAGAGTGCTCTGCACACTCTATCATTTAACCATCGCAGGTCTTATGAGAGGTTCTGAGAGGATGCCCATTTCACAAGTGAGCTTAGAGGCTAAGAAACGTGCCCGAAGTTACGTAGGCTGCAGCCTTCCTAGTGAGTGTCTGGTAGTGCCCTAAGTTGAGGAGTTGCAGGGGAGAAGGAAATTCCTGCCGCTCCTGCCACGTGCCTCAGTCTCCCTCCTTCCACGCCAGGGCTGCAAGTGGAGTTCATCAACCCCATCTTCGAGTTCTCCAGAGCCATGAATGAGCTGCAGCTCAATGATGCCGAGTTCGCCTTGCTCATTGCCATCAGCATCTTCTCTGCAGGTGCGGAGGAGGGGACGGAGGGAACCCGAGAGGGCTGTAGGCCCCACAGGGCGGGAATCCCAGAAGTGGAGGTCCTGGCTATGCTCTTTTGGGATGGAAGAGGTTGGGTGGGGCATGTCCCTATTCTGGGCGTTGTGATTTGGGGTACGAAGACCCTGGCCAGACCCGCTCCTCCATTCTGTTGGTGACCTATAGACCGGCCCAACGTGCAGGACCAGCTCCAGGTAGAGAGGCTGCAACACACATATGTGGAGGCCCTGCATGCCTACGTCTCCATCCACCACCCCCATGTGAGTCTCCCCTCCTTCCCTTTCTCTTCACACAGCAGTCCTCTACTTCTCCTGCAACTCCCCTCCCCTCGGCCCCTCTTTCCCCTGGGGAGAGGCAAGGGCTGTACTTGTTCCTGTCTCCTCCCAACCCCCCAGGACCGGCTGATGTTCCCGCGGATGCTGATGAAACTGGTGAGCCTCCGGACACTGAGCAGCGTCCACTCGGAGCAAGTGTTTGCACTGCGCCTGCAGGACAAAAAGCTGCCCCCTCTGCTGTCTGAGATCTGGGATGTACACGAATGACTGTCCTGGCCCGGTACCTTCCGTCTTCTGGCCCCAAAGCTGAGGCCCCCAGGCTGCCTCCTATAGAGGGGGAGCAGACTGACAAGGGCAAACATTCCTGGGAGTTGGGCGAAGGAGAGCTTCACATGGCATTAAAGGAGAGTCAAAGCGTTCGGAGTGTTGTGGCTGCTGAGCAGAGGGGGGACTACTAAAGCCCGGCTCCATCCAAAGACCCAAGCAGACGCATGGCCCCGGGGAGGCCACCTTGCACAAGGCTCTCCAGGGCCCCGCCCAGCCTGCCTCCCGTGGCTTCCTGCCTTCCCCCACAGGGCCCCAAGAGAAATTCTCCACTGTCACTCTGTGGCTTGGCCATAAATATCTCGGGCTGCCTCCCTGATAAGTCTGGCACTGTTTGAACAGAAGGCCAAAACGAATACAGAATGAGAGGAAAACGAGTGTCCGGCTTGGGAGAGGGCTCTGGACAGGGAGGGAAGCCCTGTCCTGTAGGCGCCGTCTCCGGACCCAGAGCAGGGAGACGATGGGTCGGTCGGTGCGCTGCGAAGGCACCAGGTTCTCTTTTCTGCTGGTTCTCAGAACTGTCGCCTCAGCCTTAAACCTCACGCGTCTGTGGATGATGCCTGAGTGTTCTTGGTGCCATCTGAGAGGGCACAACCTGAAAGACCCAGGGCCCGGTATTCTGTCGGTTTGATCCCCATTCTGTGATGCAAGAGAAGTCCCCTGAGGTCACGGGAGGGTGCCCTGCGGTGGGTTCGACCTCTCAGAGGAACTGGACTCCATTTCCCAGCGGGCACCGCGGCACCATTCACGCCCCCTTCCCTTGGAGCGCTCCCGGTGTAGGTGATACCGCACAGCCCCAAGTGCCGCCCCCCCGCCGCACCGGAATTGGTAGGCTCCGCCGCCCCGGTAGCGGGCTTACGAGCGCCGAAGGCCGGGCGATGCCAAACGGCGTGCGGGGGGGGAGGCTGAAGAATTGGAGGGGTGGTTAGAAAGCCTCAGGGGCAGGTTATCTCGAAAAGTCACTTTCAGATTAATTAACCTTTCGTCAAAATGGACTCTATGGCCATGTCGAATTAAAATGTATTTGAGCAACCTAAAGAAAATATAATCCTTTGGGTCCTCCCCCTTGGCACGCAGCGGCGCTGGGTTGGCCCTGCGCGCCCCAACCCGTTCCCACTCCCACAAGGATAGGTGTGTGCGTAGCCGCCCGTCTCCCGAGGTCTGCTCCACCCTTCAGCGCTCGGCTTTGGTGCAGCTCTGTCCCCCGCGGGACTGAATGGTACGGCTCAGGCCCCTCGGCTTCCCCCTCCCGCACCCGGCCCGAGTGGTACGCGCCCCCCGGTGCAGACGCGGAACTGGCGCCCGCTCGGAGCCGCGCGGCGCGGCGCCGAGGAGCGACTGACGCTGGCCGCCGGGGAGGTCCGGTCTGCGTGGCTGGTCCCCCGAGGCTCGGGAGGTAGGGGTCCCCGGACGGATATTTGGGCAACTGGGGACTTCTGGGGGGAGGAGGGTCATCGGGCTCCCTGAGGAATGGTCTCTGAGGAGGCCCTGCGGGAGCGCGAGGGGGAGTGGCGGCGTCTGGGGAGGGAGTGGGGCGGGGGTCTGAGGCAGAAGGGGGCGCGGCCAGAGGTGCGGACGCTCGGGGCAGCGGCTGTGGGCTCCGGGCTCCCGGCTCCATTCCTGCCGGGCCGGCGGCGCTGGTTCCGGGGCGGGGGCGGGGAACTGTCCAGCAGGTGAGGGGGCGGGCAGAGCTGTCCAGCCCCGGGGCTGGAGCCCGCACGAGCGCCTTGGCGTGTATGCTTGTGCGCGCGCGTGTGTGGGAGCGTGCGTGCCCCTTGTTTTTGGTTAGGATTTGGGGGGAAAAAAAAACCACGTTTGGTTCTTCAAAAGCACATTTTTGTTGTTGTTTTTAAATGTGATGTTTCAAAATTGACTTTCTGTGGATTGGAGACGACATTCACTCCCCCACCCCATCCTCCGGCATCTGTACATTCTTTCTCTTTCTTCCCCAACCCTGACTGTTGCCTGCCTCGTTGCTCAAGTTCTCCCCCAGCGCTGGACCAGTGTGTGTGCGATGAGCTTGCAAGGTCACTGCCTGGGGAGGGGGAGGAGAGGCGGGGAGCCTTCTGTCCTGCTCGCGTCAGCAGAGATGTCATATCGCTCTCGGGTTCCTGTGGTTTTACTATGAGATCCTGCCCAAAACGAGAGACTGGTCCAGAGGGGGTGGTTAGCATGGCTGCCGTAGGCCGAAAAGGCACCCATAACGTAAAGGTCTGGGGATGCCACGGCTGCTTCTAGATGGAGTGCATGGCGATGTGGACGTAAAAGCAGAATGGTATGGGGTTTGAGCTTTTTGCCTTTGCAGGGTATCCGGGTAGGAACCAGGGGGCTCTGTGACAGTGCGGTTGGGGCAGGAGGCAGAATCTGGTCGGTTAGGAAGGCAGAGCGTGAGTTATAGGTGGTGGTAGAGGGTTTAGAGTCTTTGTGGGGAGCGGAGAGAGGCAAGAAGAAGAAGAAAAGCCGGGGTGGTCTCTGCAGTCAGAATGACCAGGCAGTGCTATTGGTGGGATAAGGATGGCCAAAAATCCACCAGTCCTGGCTGGCATGGTCAGGATCTCAGGGTCCTCGTGGCTCTGGCAAGGAGATGGGGACGGCAGAGCATGCAAGTGACTTTAGTAGTGTCAGGTAGCTCTCGGTGGAGAAGGCCCGGGGTCCCCCCAAGGCTGGAGAGACCTGATGCCTACTGGGACCTGTGTTCGTGGGAGATGCTTCAGGCCTGATCTTGGAGGTTCTGGGCCGGAAAGGGCACCTGGTTGTCTTTGTAGAGCTGGATTTCTGGGTTCCGCCTGGAGTGCTGGTCCTGTAAATTGTTTTACTTTCAAATACTTGGGCTCTCACTGTAGACATCTGCATCATTCCTTAGAGAAAGAGGTGTGCTTCTACCCGTATCCCATTTCATCCATTTCGCGTCTGCTTTTTCTCTCCCCTTTGCATTCTGCTTCGGAGCAGCTGAGCGCCGCTCTGTAGTGGTCCTCCCCTTTCTAGTAGGCTCCTGGCTCTGCAGCAGCTGGGAGAGCCAAGGGGCTTGTTGGGCTCACTCAGCTGTGCCGTGCCTGGAAATGGGTATATAGCACACTTGGGAACTTGGTGGTGCAGATATATCTCTGACAAAAGCCAGAATTAGGACCAAGTGCAAACTAAAGACAGATGGGGGAGAAGCTGACCCAATTCTTGGCAAGTGCCATCAGTGGGAGAGGTGTCTCCAGGTTCAAGGAGAGTGAACTGTTGCGGGCTCCCGCCGGCTCTGGAGTAGCAGCTGCTAGCACTCTGCGGTCACCAACCAGGGGAGGGGCTGAAGCTCTGCTATAAATAGTGCTAAGAGCCAGAGTCGCTATGGAGACAAAACTGAATCCTATTACCTGCAGGTCCTCTATGGGGAGCAAGGGGAAAGAAGGAGCAGCATTTTGAGGACTCAGAGGTGTTGCAAATAGGTCTTGTTTATGATTAGGCAGGGGAGGGAAAAAAATAGAACTTCTATCATTATCTAAATCAAATAGGACCTTAAGCATACAGGGAGTATGTGTGTCCATGTGAATGGGAGTGCACACAGCTGCTGCTGAGGGAGTGGTGTGTATGTGTGTGTGTCAGTGTGTCGTCGTGCAGTGAGATTCTCTGTGTGTACAATGAACAGTGTTATCGTGTGGCCACGTGCGAAGCACAGAGGTAGAATCCTGGAGCACTGGAAATAGCTTTGTAGTAGAGCGAAACATTTTATTTAGAGAAGGATATGGAGACCCAACAGGAAATAAGTGATAATTAACACCATAGAAACTGTTCCTAATTTTAGGACTACAGATTAGAAATTCTCTGAACACTTACTCCCTGACCTTGCAGAAAGTCTAATTCATAATCTCTGAGATATCGTAGGACAGGGCCCCACTGGTATGTATTATACTCCCAGTTCCAGTCCTAAGACCAGAATACAGGAGCCTGTGATCCAGCATCAAGGGTAGAACTAGCAGCAGTAACCACTTGAACCCTTTTCTTGCTTGCAGGAGGAGACAAGTGGTTCAGATGAGGCCGCGGGGGCATGGGCATTGATTATTTGCAGTCACATAAGGGAGGATACCCAGCTGTTGTTATTGTCTGAGGGCAGTTAACTGGACTATCTATATAGTAGTTTCACATCAAGCTGAATGCAGATTGTTCAAACAGAATAATTAGGTTTCCATCTAGACCTAGAAGTGCAGATTAGTGCTGAACAGAGTCTGGTTGGATCCTGATCCACCCTGGGGCAGTCCTGAAAGTGACTTAATTTTCGTTAATGGCTGATTCCAGATTAGACCACCTCCATCTGTTTTTCAGAAACAGCCCCAGGGGCTAGGCTGGAAGTGAGTCAGGGAGGCAAGCCATTATTTAGCCTACTTTTTGACATTTGACTCCAGGAGCTCCTAAGCCTAGACACCAGACTAGTAGTGTCAAGTTCACCCATCTTTAATACTAAATAAAATGGAAGGCCTCTGACCAGTGCCCTTAGAACTGGGATAAAGTTGGTGAGGGATGAGTCTCAGGCACAGCAATGCATCTTATCAGCACTTTTTTCCTATGAAACTTGTATTTTCAGACAATATCAGAATTCCTCCTGGGAACGCTGACTCCTTGCCCGGTGCCCTGAAGTGTCTCTGAGATGAACTGATGAATCGGAAACATGGTGCAAAAGAAGAAATTCTGTCCTCGGTTACTTGACTATTTAGTGATCGTAGGGGCCAGGTAACCAAAGAGAGACTGGTTTTTGTCTTGTATGGGATAGCTACCAAGGCTTCAGTCACTTCCTTTGCTTGTTTCCATGTTGCTTTGTATATTTCATTCTTCCCCTTTTATTTTACCCTGATTGTAGCACTGATGCTCATAGGGAAAACACACGGTCAGGTGGATGGAGAGCGTTGGTCTGGACAGAGACAAAGCAAGCCTATGCCCTTAGCTAACATCCTTGAACTTGAGCACATCTACTCTTTATACCCCAGTTTTCTTGTTTTATAAAAAGGAGTACAACTGTGCTTCTTCACCTGTGGGTCCGTGTACTGCTTTGATAATTCATTAGCTAGTCCACCTTGAAATGTAGTAACCAGCCTAAGAGGATAGAGTTTTCCCAAGAAGAATATTTCTAGGGTAGGTATCTTCATGACAGTGCTGACTATCAGCCCACATGCCGAACGTGGCAGGTAGCACCTGTGTTTCCCGAGGTCCTGCAGTCAGGTTACTTTCCCCAAGCTAGCATTTTGAACTTCGTTTATCGACTGTGGTTATGATCTGATGGAGTGTGCCATCCCTTCAGGCTGCTGAGTTTGTCCTTGTGTTCCTCAGACACCCGAGCAGTGACAGTGTGGCCCAGACTCCTGAACTGCTGCGGCGATACCCGTTAGAGGATCATGCCGAGTTTCCCCTGCCCCCGGATGTGGTGTTCTTCTGCCAGCCGGAGGGCTGCCTGAGTGTGCGGCAGCGGCGCATGAGCCTCCGGGATGATACCTCTTTTGTGTTTACCCTCACTGACAAGGACACTGGAGTCACACGTTATGGCATCTGCGTTAACTTCTACCGCTCCTTCCAAAAGCGAATGCCCAAGGAAAAGGGAGAAGGTGGAACAGGGTCCCGTGGGAAGGAGGGAACCCGCGCCACCTGTGTCTCCGAAGAGGCTGGCACCGAGAGCTCAGAGAGCGGCTCGTCCCTGCAGCCCCCCAGCGCTGACTCCACCCCTGACGTGAACCAGTCTCCTCGGGGCAAACGCCGGGCCAAGGCAGGGAGCCGGTCCCGCAACAGCACCCTGACGTCCCTGTGTGTGCTCAGCCACTACCCTTTCTTCTCCACCTTCCGAGAGTGTCTGTACACCCTCAAGCGTCTGGTGGACTGCTGCAGCGAACGCTTGCTGGGCAAGAAGCTGGGCCTTCCTCGGGGTGTGCAGAGGTACGGCCTGCTGCCGGCCCTCGGGGGAAAGGGAAGCCATTCCCAGATTAGGTGTAATCGCCCCGTGAGGGACTCGATTTCCTGTACAGCGTGAGGTCCCTTAGTCCAACTTAAGCATGTTAAATTGGTCCTTACCAAGCAAGTCTGCTGCAGAGTTGAACCTCCTACCATATGTGCTGGGGTTTGATATTTTACAGTGTGCAGGACTGTAAGTCCTGCCGCGTGTGTTAGTTTTTAATTTGTTCTCGCCCTTCTACCTACTCTCTGGTTTCCTCTGAGCTCGAAGAGTGGGCCTTCCTGGTGTCAGTCTTCCAGCTGTCACCGCGATGCTCTCTCTGGTTACCCTGGGTTGCGCTGGGACTGACCGCCTGGGGCTCACGTGTCCGCTTCCTGCCGTCTGCTCCTCAGGGACACCATGTGGCGCATCTTCACCGGCTCACTGTTGGTGGAGGAGAAGTCGAGTGCACTTCTGCATGACCTTCGGGAGATTGAGGCCTGGATCTATCGATTGCTGCGTTCCCCCGTACCTGTCTCTGGGCAGAAGCGAGTCGACATTGAGGTCCTGCCCCAGGAGCTCCAGTCAGCTCTGACCTTTGCTCTCCCAGACCCCTCTCGATTCACCCTAGTGGATTTCCCACTGCACCTTCCCTTGGAACTTCTGGGTGTGGACGCCTGTCTTCAGGTGCTGACGTGCATCCTGTTAGAGCACAAGGTGAGGGCCAGCTTCATAGAGGATAAGGCTTTGAGATACGACTGAGGCTAGACCACGAGCTCTTTGAGGACAGGACCGCAGCCTTTCCTCTTCTGGCTCCAGGAGGTAATCTGATGCCAGGTATAGAGCAGGTGCCTGGTGGATGTGAATTGTGCTGGGATCACGTGGGATGTACTCAGAGAGCCTCCCACTGGTTGAGTTATCTTTTATTGTACGGACCTAATTATTTGGAAATATCAGTAGCAGTGGTCCTGGGATGCAGAGTGCAAGAACTGGGGCGGTAAGGGAGTGATTCGAGGGAAGGGTTATCCAGTGCTTGGGTTGGAATGTGGCAGGCCTGGTGGGGCACGGAGCAGTGGTCACTGTGGAAGCTAAGCTCAAGTGACTGGCGTGGTTAAACAGAAGTTACATGTCTTGTTGGAAGAAGCTGTTTTCTTATAACCCTTACTTGGTGCTACTGAGTGATCCTTTTGCCATGGCTCCTGGCAGGTGGTGCTACAGTCCCGAGACTACAATGCACTCTCCATGTCTGTGATGGCGTTTGTCGCAATGATATACCCCCTGGAGTATATGTTTCCTGTCATCCCACTGCTTCCCACCTGCATGGCATCGGCAGAGCAGGTGAGTCTCAGGGTGTCTTCTGTCACTTCTGTCTTCTTGAGAGAGGAGTCTCAGTGCTCAGAGAAGTTGTGAGTTAGTATTGGTATTTAGACATCTCTTTCTCATAACTTGTTAGTCTGTAAAATCTGACTAATTTGAACTGATCTGGTGGTAAAACCTATACTTTGTGTTTGTCACAGTTAATGTTAATTATTCTAGGCTTATGGCTACAATGCTGCAGTCATACAGGGTCAACATTGTGGTGCAGTGGGTTAAGCCACTGCTTGTGATGCTGGCATCCCCTGTTGGAGTGCTGGCTGCTCCACTTGCAGTCTCCAGCTTCCTGCTAATGTGCCTGCCACTCGTGTGGAAGACCTGGATGGAGTTCCTAACTCATGGCTTCTGCCTGGCTGTTAGGGCCATCTGGGGAGTGAACTAGCAGATGGAAGATCCCTCTCCCTCTCCCTATGTTATCTCTCTGTCTTTTAAATAATAAAAAAGAAAGAAATTTTTGAAAATATATACAGAAAATGCACTGGTAACCTTTATGAAATCTAAAAAATTTCTGGATTTTGACATGCATTTATCCTATGGGTTTTTGGAAAAGGGATTGTATATCTGCATTTCCTTATCTAGAAAAATCCTGACTTGATAATTCTCACAGTAGTCTTTGTCTTTATTTCTTATCCTTTGTGTTACTTCCATAGCTGCTGTTGGCTCCAACCCCATACATTATCGGAGTCCCTGCCAGCTTCTTCCTTTACAAACTGGACTTCAAAATGCCTGATGATGTGTGGCTGGTGGATCTGGACAGCAATCGGGTAAGGCATTAGAGGGCCTAGGATAGGACTGTGTTCTAGACCTGTTCTTTTGGTATCTGTTTTTCTAGATGATCCCCAGGAAGGTCCTACATAGGTGGATAATTTCTGTCGTGAGGCTTATTGAAACCAATTTTTTTCTAAATGCTGCTTTTACTTTATTAGCTAAACAAGCCCTTGGTTAATAAGAAGAAGTGTTCCCTGCATATTCTCCAAGAGCAGTAGGGCTGTTGCAGGACTGGTGTAGATCTCTAATGGCTTTCTGGGACGTAGTTTCCAGTAAGAAGCTGTCTTTTAGTGCAGACTTTAAAATTATATTAATATTGTGCAGTGTGAGTACATTCAGACTTTTATAGGAAGCTATGGTGTGTGTTCATTATAAAACTTGATCAGAAAAAAAAAATAAAGAAGAAAGTGAAAAACCATAATCTTAATCCCATTATCAAGATCACAAAGAGGCAGGTGTTGTGGTGCGATGGGCTAAGCCACCACTTGCAACAATGGCATCCCATTATCAGAATGTTGATTTGAATCCCAGCTGTACCTCTCCTGATCCAGCTCACTGCTAATGCACTGGAAAGCAACAGATGACAGCTGAAGAACTTTGGTTCCTCTCACCCACACGGGTGTGTGTGTATGTGCATAAATCTTACACGTACAGGTATGTGATCTGTGTATTCACAGATTGTATATACATCTTCCTGTTTTTTTTTTTTTTTTTAATATTTACTTTTATTTGAAAGGCAGAGTTACAGAGAGGCAGAGGCAGAGAGAGAGAGGAAGGTCTTCCATCTGCTGGTTCACTCCCCAAATGACCTTAATGGCCGGAGCTGGGCCAATCCGAAGCCAGAAGCCAGGGGCTTCTTCCAGGTCTTGCACATGGGTACAGGGGCCCAAGCACTTGGGTCATCTTCTACTGCTCTCCTAGGCCATAGCAGAGAGCTGGATCAGAAATGGAGCAGCTGGGACTTGAACTGGTGCCCGTATGGGATGCCGGCACTGCAGGCAGCAGCTCTACCTGCTATGCCACAGCACTGGCCCTCTCCCCGTTCTTATTTACTCTCTGTAAGTGAAATTCCAGAGCAGTTAATTTTGATGTCATGCCTTTTACTTTTTCTTGGATGCAGGTGATTGCCCCCACCAATGCAGAAGTGCTGCCTATTCTGCCAGAACCGGAATCATTAGAGCTGAAGAAACATTTAAAGCAGGTGGGTGAAGAACGATGGAAAGAAGGAGGGTAATAGATGCTATAGGGTTGATGAAGGAAGACAGCCATTCTAAGAGCCATTTTCCTTTTAAACTTTTAGTGTAGTGGATTTTCTTTACCTCCAATGGGCTTAAGAAGGGGTGTATCCCATTTTGTAGAGTCCTTCTGATTCATTGTAGGCCCTGTCACTCTCCCATGCTGGTGATGCTGTATAAAACAGCTGTCCACTTTCCCTTTGTCACATCTGTCATTCTTTACTGCCTTGGAGTGCTCTCAGCCTTATAAGTCAGGTGTTAGCAGTTTGGACAATTTGATCCGTGTTATCTTCTTGAATTGAATTACACCTTTATTATCTTCTTGAATTATCTTCTCTAGGTCCCTGTAGAATCCCTTTTTGAGTAATTCCTTACATCCCTATTTCATTGGTTTATTTTCTTCTTCTGCCTGCCAAACACAGTACCTGAAGGTAAAACTTGACAAGGCTCCATTCCTTTCCCCTGCTGTATGTGTTTTGTGAGACCACCAGATGGCACTGGATTTATTTTTAAGAATCCATGCTCTCATTTGGAGGGTCTTTAGAAATCTTTTTCTGTGTCCTGTAAGTACATAGTAGTCCCTCTAGTTGATACCTGGATTTAAATGGGTCAGTTTGTATCATCCCTCTCACTTTCTTCATCCCTGCTGATGTAATATGATATCTTGGTGCTGCAGAATCTGGTGAGGATCGCAAGCTCTGAAAGTTCCTCTAGCTGTCTTCACTTGCTGTGTTTTCATATTTTTTAAAGATTTATTTGAAAGGCAGAGCTACAGAGAGGCAGAGGCGGCGGGGAGGGGCCTTCCATCCACTGGTTCACTCCCCAGATGGCTGCAATGGCCAGAGCTGCACCGATCCGAAACCAGGAGGTTCCTCTGGGTCTCCCACTGGGTACAGGGGCCCAAGCACTTGGGCTATCTTCTGCTACTTTCCCAGGCCACAGCAGAGAGCTGGACTGGAAGTGGAGTAGCTGGGACTCAAACTGGCACCCACAAGGGATGCTGGCACTGCAGACTGGGACTTTAACCTACTGTACCACAGTGCTGGCCCTGTGTGTTTTCATTCTTGATGACTGGTTAATTATGACTAATAAGTTGAGAAGGTTGATATATAGAATTGCACTTTAAATGCATGTAGGAGCTAAGATCCTTGGGCTTACTGAATCTGTACTTTGACCCTTGCTACTCAAAATGTGGTCCAAGGACTAGCAGCAGCACTAGTGTTATGTGGGCTTTTTAAAAGTGTCAAATTGGGTGTGCTTGTGGGGCAGTGGTTAAGACATTGTTTGGGATGCCCGCATGCCATATCAGGGTTCCTAGGTTGAACTTGGGCTCCAGTTCCAATTCCTGCTTCCTGCTAATGTGCATCCTGCGAGGAAGCATGTGGTGGCTCATGTACTTGGGTCCCTGTCATCTACGTGGAAGACCTGGGTTGAGTTCTGGGCTCCTGGCTTTAGTCTGGCCCTACAGTGGCTGTTGCAGGCATTTAGGGAGTGAACCAGCAAATGGAAAAATCTTTCTCTCTCTTTCTGTGTCTGCCATTCAAATAGAAAATATGAAAATGGAAAAAAAAAAAAGCCTCTAGGGCCTGGCATTGTGGCATAGTGGTAAAACCCCCGCCTGTGATGTCTGCACCCCATATGGGTGCCAGTTCAAGCTCCCTCATGGAGCCCCTTAGACGCTGATTTAGATTGTAAGCATTGAATATAGGAAGCTCTCATTCTTTACATCCTTCCAAGAAACTGTTTGTACCTTTCAGTTGTTTATATTTCCACGTATATTTCAATCTGGAAAAACACGTCATGACTAAAATACATTTGGAAGCTATTGTCCTGAACTTCAGATTTAATCAAGTTGCTGGGATCTAGGGTGGCTAGAGATGGATAACTGCATAATTCAGACAGCTTTCTAAAGGCTGAAATAGTTGAGTCCTTATTTCAAAAATGAAGGCTCTGAAATAGGTGGGCCACAGTTCACGTATTCGTATAGTCCTTGGTTGCAGAACTAATCAGCGAGAGTGTGTGATGTGGAAGACTTAGAGAAGAGTCTTTCCTAGGAGACTGGCTAGCTAGCCAGGAGTCTGCCTTAGATGAGGGATTTCTTCCTCCACAGGCCCTCGCCAGCATGAGTCTGAACACTCAGCCCATCCTCAATCTGGAGAAATTTCACGAGGGCCAGGAGATCCCACTTCTCCTGGGAAAGCCTTCTAATGACCTGCAGTCCACCCCTTCCACTGAATTCAACCCACTCATCTATGGCAATGACGTGGATTCTGTGGATGTTGCAACCAGGTGAGACCAAGCGGGTTGTCCAGTCATGGGTTCTAAGTTGCTCTCTTTCTCTCAGCGACCTTGGGATGGAGTACTTTCCTGAGCCAGAGTTTATCTGTATATAAAATGTGGATGATATTACAGTGTGTTTTCCACTTTAGTAAAAAGCGAAGAGGAGAAATCACTGAGGGACTGGTGATTCTTTAAGATAACTCTCCCCTTGATACTGGAAGCCTGTTAAATGATGGCTTTGCCAAGTGGCCCGAGACCTTGGATCATGGAAACCCTGGCTGTACGGGGCACGGGTCTGGCGTTAGCTCACCGTCCGCTTCTTCTCCAGAGTGGCCATGGTGCGTTTCTTCAACTCCGCCAACGTGCTGCAGGGCTTTCAGATGCACACGCGGACTCTGCGTCTCTTCCCTCGGCCAGTGGTAGCTTTTCAGGCTGGCTCCTTTCTAGCCTCGCGGCCCCGGCAGACTCCTTTTGCTGAGAAGTTGGCCAGGACTCAGGCTGTGGAGTACTTTGGAGAATGGATCCTTAACCCCACCAACTATGCCTTTCAGCGAATTCACAACAGTGAGTCCACCCAGCCTCTGCCTTTGTCCTCCTGACAGTTCTCCCTTTGCTTGTTTCTTTGCTAGTCTTTGCCCCACCCCTTCCATGCTTGTTCTGCGTTAGACTTTTCCCTGCCTTTATGTTATGTAGTGCTTGTTGCTAACTCTGTTGTTTCTCCTCTTTGGGTAGATATGTTTGATCCCGCCCTGATTGGTGACAAGCCCAAGTGGTATGCTCATCAGCTGCAGCCCATCCACTACCGAGTCTACGATAGCAACTCCCAGCTGGCCGAGGCGCTGAGTGTGCCGCCCGAGCGTGACTCCGACTCTGACCCTACTGATGACAGGCGAGCAGGCCCCTCTCACTAGCCCTTCCCTAGCAAGATCTCAGGGGATTTAGATGTCAGTCTTTGAAGCCTTGAGTTGTATTTTAGTTGATTGGTTTTCTTGGCTTCTTTATTTTATCTGTTCTCTACCCTTGAGCTAAGAGTGCTCCTCTTTTATTTTTCCTAGTGCTGATTGCACTGTTTTTCCCTGCCCCTTCCTTCTGGTCTTTTTTTTTTTTATGCTCTTCACTCTGCAGCGGCAGCGATAGTATGGATTATGATGACTCAAGCTCTTCTTACTCCTCCCTTGGTGACTTTGTCAGTGAAATGATGAAATGTGACATCAACGGTGACACTCCCAGTAAGTGGGCTTGGGGAGATTGGCCAGCCCTGGGCTGGGGTTGGGGTTCTGGAATGGGGTGTCTGTACCTGCTTCCCTCGGTTTGTTTCCCAGATGTGGACCCTCTGACACATGCAGCACTGGGGGACGCCAGTGAGGTAGAGATTGATGAGCTCCAGAGCCAGAAGGAAGCAGAGGAGCCTGGCCTGGACAGCGAGAACCCTCAGGAAAACCCCCCAGTGCGCTCCAGCGCCAGCACTACTGCCAGCAGTAGCCCCAGCACTGTCCTCCATGGAGCTAACGCTGTACGTGAGGCCACGGAGCGGTGGGTGAGCGGGATCCCTTGCTGGGGATGTGGGCCTCATCTCTGTTAGGAAGGCTGCACTGCAGTGTTCATTTGCCTTTTTCCTCAAAATCTTCTTATCTTCTCCATAGACCGTTAGGGTGAGGGTTTTGGACTCAGAGCCTAAATGATGCAGTATTGATCCCAGAAGGTCACAGCATTGTTCGGGGTATAGCTGAGATCCCCCTTTCATAGCCTGTGGGGACAGAGAACAGGGATACTACAGATACTTTCCCACACATTCCTTTGGCCATCAATCTGCTAGACCTGCACGGACCTGGCCCTGCCTAACTGAGATACAGGGAAGTATCACTGGGCACCAGGTGATCACCTTTTATTTATTGTGTCCCTTAGGAAGCTGCTGACTCTGCAGAGATGGATGATACGGCAGCAGGAGGCATCTCCAAGCCTCCCCCTACTGTGCCTCCTGGCATCGGCAAATCGAACGTGGACAGGCGTCAGGCAGAAATCGGAGAGGGGTCAGTGCGCCGGCGAACCTATGACAATCCATACTTCGAGCCCCAATATGGCTTTCCCCCTGAGGAAGATGATGATGAGCAGGGGGAAAGTTATACTCCCCGATTCAGCCAGCATGTCAGTGGCAATCGGTGAGAGCCTGGGATCCCCGCTAGTGGGGTGACTGAAGGACTTTACTGCAGTGGACCCTGGGCAAGGGTTAATCAGAAAGTCTGAGAAGTCTGCTCGCCCTCGCGGTCCTGCTGCTCACTGAGGGTGGTACTCTGCTGTTGGGATTTAGGAGTCATGGGAAGGGAGTGGTGACTGCAGCGTAGCGAAGGCCCACACTCCCAAGGTCAGGTACCCCTACCTGGGGCTCACAGGTGCCACTGTGCGTTCAAGGGCTCAAAAGCTGCTGCGGCCCAACAGCTTGAAACTGGCAAGTGACTCCGATGCAGAATCAGACTCCCGCGCGAGCTCTCCCAACTCCACCGTCTCTAACAACAGCACCGAGGGCTTCGGGGGCATCGTGTCATTTGCCAGTAAGTGTCTTCAGCGTTCTCATTTCCCTGTTCTGTTTTCTCCCACAGTGGGGCCTGACCAAGGCACACACTGCTTAGAGTTTGCAGTGGAGGGCTGGCTTGGCATGATCAAACCCTGATTCCAGTCATTTAGGTGATACTGAATGGAGTGTTTTCAGAGGAGGTCAGTAAGGACAGGGACGGGTTAGTTGTTTTCATTATACGTGGATGTTTCAGACTTCCCAGGGAGGATAGCTGAATGGTCAACTGAAAAGTATGCATTAAATCCAAAAGTCACACACACACACACACACACACACCCCGCATATGTACTTTGTAGAAATATTCTGGTCAAAGTTGATATGAGTATGTATCTTATATCTTTGCTTGATGAGGGTTTTTTTCATCAACATGCTTTGACATCTGTATGAGATTGGTTTTTGTGCTTAGAGAATATTTCAAGCAATGAGTGGCAAGCATGAGTTAAAAATTAAAGATGGACCTTTGTTGGGTCTAGGGTCACGATAGGGGATAATTGTGATTGTGAATTTTTTCAGAAGCCAGGGAGGGACAATGTCAGCTTCATGCCAGAAGCATACAAACTATCAGTTTTCATACTGTGTTCTCAGTAGATGAATGAAATGGATATTGTGGGAAGTGCCTGAATAAAGTCAATGGCAGTGATAGCTTTGTTTACCCCAAGTTAGGCTTGATCTTTGCTGAGGTGGAGCAGAGACTGATCTACTGAATTGGAATTCTGTTTGAAACGAAGGGAGGGGAAGAGGAGCATACAGTCAGTGGAGCACAGTGTTTTAGTTGTTTGTCCTGCTGACTCACTGGTTTTTCACCTCTCTTTGATAGGCAGCCTGTATAGGAACCATAGCACAAGCTTCAGTCTTTCAAACCTCACGCTCCCCACCAAAGGGGCCCGAGAGAAGACCACGCCCTTTCCCAGTCTGAAAGGTAACTAGAGCCTGCCTTCTGCCAAACCAGATTTCTCTGGGAGGTGTTTCAGGCCTGTGGGTGCTTGTCAGGAGCCTGGTGTGTGATGAGTCATTTGATCATGGGGCTTTCACTGCACATCATGGGCTCTCGATGGCTGTCAGATAGAAACCCTCTTTGTAGCTAGAGGAGGTCCTGTTGTATTGTTTAGAGTAATGGCAACTGTGTTATCGCTGCTGCTTCTGGGGCCCTTGTTAGTGGTACACAGTTAACACAGGGATCTTCGGCTGCTCCCAGTCACCTGCCAGGTCCTGCTTGCGTGGATTTAGAACAGAATCCATCCCAAGGAGCCATCCCCCACAGAGTGGTTGTGGAGAGCTGGCAATGTTGATAGGAGCCTTTCTGTGACTTCATGTCCACACAGGCTGTGAGTGGGCCAGGTAATATTTACTGGCTTCTAGGGGCAATGGTCCCAGAGGCAACTAAGACCTTGTTTGAATTTTATTGTGATCTTGTGAGTTTGAGAGGCTTTTCTAAATTTAATTTGACTTTGGTTTGTTTTCTCTGAATATTGTACTGAAATATTGAGTTATGGTAGGAAGTACAGTGACAAGTGCTGTACTCTAACTTGCCTCTCATTCCCAGTGATCAAAAATATCAGGAGTCCATGAAATATTCTTTGGTGGGGATGGGAACATAGGGTTTGATGGGCCAAAGGACATCAGAGCTGGTAGTATAGGAAACTCATTAGCACCGCCGCGTTGAATCCAGAGGGGCTGGGTAGATCGGGGATGGAAAGGTAAATGTCTGGCTTTGATTCGATATATTTGAAGAGAAGAGCAACTGAAGCTCTTTCATTGCATGCTGATGCTTCATTTCATTTGCTGCACTTAACCCTCTCACCCACTCCCCATCTTCATACCCCACCCCCGCTTCCCATGACAGCATCTGCAAAATGGGTCTCTTCCCTAAGCATACCTGCAGGCCCTCTGGACCCCTGTGCTAGATGTTTCATGAAAACTGGTGATCCCCGTGTCATGCATGTGCCTGTGTAGGCTCCTGTATCATTTACCCTGCCTCTGGCTCTGAGATGCCACTGCTTTAAGGATGATCTTTCTTGGAGCCTTGGGTGCCTCCTGGTCACTTGGTTGCCAGCTCTGCGGTGCCCAAGAACCAAGGTTACGTGCGCTGTTCAAGCTCTGGGAGAATGCTCAGATTATCTGACTTACTGCTCCATATACGGGTGTAGGGGTTGCGGTATCGTGGTGCACCTACTAATTGTGTATTTTGTGTCCCAGTATTTGGGCTAAATACTCTAATGGAGATTGTTACTGAAGCCGGCCCCGGGAGTGGTGAAGGTGGGTCTTGCCTGTGAGCTGTGCATGATCTTTTTTTTCCTAGCATCTTCATGCCTGCCTGAGGGCCATCCTCCTCAGGGAGCAAGCAGCTTCACATGAGTGACCTGCCTTGCCCCGTCCCCGAGACGCCCGTGCCTGCCCATGGGGCGTGCTGCTGGTGCATGTGGAGTGGCCTGAGTCTCCATTCCCACCTCCTCCACATTGCCATGGCTGGTTTCTACCTGTGTGTGATGCCCTGGTGCCACCCTCCCCCAGCCCTTCTGGGGAATGGGCGTGGAACATGGCTAATTAACACGAGTTCCTGGACTAGAATTGTGATGGCTCTCCTTCCTACCTTTCCTGCTGTAGGAAACAGGAGAGCTTTGGTGGATCAGAAGTCGTCTGTCATTAAACACAGCCCTACAGTGAAGCGAGAACCTCCATCACCCCAGGGTCGATCCAGCAATTCTAGGTAATAAATGGCACGTCCGTTTTAAAAGGTTGCGGCTAGAGGTCACGATTCCTGTGCAGAACTTGAGGGGTGCTCAGGAGTGGGAGAGAAGCCCGCAAAATGGTAGATGACAGCAGTTCTGGCCAGCACTTCCGTTCTGACGCAATCCCCTGCAACAGTGATGGTTTACAGTGTTGAGGAGGGGGAGACAGCAATGCTGGGGACCTGGGCAGACCAAGTTACCTGAAGGGGGTGCAAAGGCGGTGGACTTGGGCATTTGGAGGCTTGGCTTGGGAAACCCCTCAGTCTGTGCAAGTGGGGGATGCTCTGCTGAGCAACTCCCGATCACACGTGTGTGGCCCACAGTGAGAACCAGCAGTTCCTGAAGGAGGTTGTGCACAGCGTGCTGGACGGCCAGGGCGTCGGCTGGCTCAACATGAAGAAAGTGCGCCGGCTGCTGGAGAGCGAGCAGCTCCGAGCCTTCGTCCTGAGCAGGCTGAGCCGCACAGCCCAGGCGGAGGACGACGCCCGGCAGGACGTCATCCCGGATGTGGTCGGTATCCGAGCTGAGGCAGCGGGATCCACCGGGCGAGGGGTGTGCACTCCACAAGCAGTGTTACCAACTCTGTCGCTGGGTTCCCATTGCAGGAGATCAGTCGCAAGGTGTATAAGGGAATGTTAGACCTGCTCAAGTGCACAGTCCTCAGTCTGGAACAGTCCTATGCCCATGCGGGTCTGGGTGGCATGGCCAGCATCTTCGGGCTTCTGGAGATAGCCCAGACCCACTACTACAGTAAAGGTAGGGGTCACACCCGCCTGGCGTCATCCCATGCACAGCTCTCCCAGTTGTCTCCGAAAGAGGAAACGTACTTGCCCCACAGCAGGTGTTCCTGTGCCACGCTTCCCATAGGCTTTGGGATTTTATTTTCCAGTGCATGTTTATCAGTGGGTATTCTTCTGTCATAAAAAGTAGAATGATAGCTTTTCTTTCCTTGCACTTCTTCTGTTCCACTTTGTCCTACTGCATTTCCTTCCTTGGTTACCATTTACTACCTCTTTTGACCTCTTTCTGTATTCAATCTTTTCCTCAGAACCAGACAAGCGGAAGAGAAGTCCAACAGAGAGTGTAAATACCCCAGCTGGAAAGGACCCTGGTCTGGCTGGGCGGGGGGACCCAAAGGCTATGGCCCAGCTGAGAGTTCCCCAGCTGGGACCTCGGGCACCAAGTGCTCCAGGAAAGGGTCTTAAGGAACTGGACACCAGGAGTTTAAAGGAAGAGAATTTTGTAGCATCTATTGGTACGTATCACCGTGTTTGGTGTGGGGAGGGATCCTGGCTTCTTAAGTATCCCTCCCTCCTTTCGGTTCATTCAGAATCCCGCCTTTCTCTTCCCCATGCTTTGCTTTCTTGAGAGGGAGATAGGCCTGTGTCCATTTCTTCTCTATCCCTTGTGCTTTATCCATGGCCACCTCCACCTGCATCCTAGAGGAAGGATGGACGTTTGTGTAGAGGGCCCAGTGAGGCTTAGTGCAGGAAGTCTGAGCTGTACTCCTGGTCTCTCATTTCTTTACATCTGAAGTTCTTCACGTAGTGGAGAGGCCACACGAGTTCCTAAGAAGATAAAAGGAAGTTTACAGATGCATCTTTGGCCTGTGACAGTGTGGTTATCTGGGTCTCTGAAGCCAGTTTCCCCCATTACACTGCCCTGGAATTTGCTTCTCTGGGTGCATCTGACAACCCTGCTCCCCTAGGTTCTGGACCTCAGACTTGGCTCTCTCTAAACCTTCCTCACGGGACTTGGCTAAAAGCTTGGTTATATTTGGTGTTTCTCCATTCTCACTAAGGTGGTGCCTTGGTGAGCTCTCTGGGTGTCACTTCTGTTCGGCTCACTCCCTGCATGACCTGAGAATTCCAGGTCATAGCTTTCTTTTTCTGATTTTAGGGCCCTGGGCACTATGATTCCAGCTGATGCCTTTGTCACAACCATTAAAATTGCCTCATGTTCCCATATGTGGTAATTAGGAACCAGTTTCCTTTATGGAGGAACTACACTTGACTAGCCACTATAATGCTGCCCTAGAGGCAATCAACCCTGACTCGCTCCTGTCTCAAGTGATGTTCTAGAAAAAGTACCGTGACCTGCCAGTCTGGTGATCCAGCGTTTTAGTTCTGTATCTGTCCCTAGCTAGAACACAACTCTAGGCAAACCACTTCCTGCTTCAGGGTCTCTGTCTCTTTCCTTATCTGGGAAATGAAGAGATCACACTGTGGAGTTTCTTCCAGGCAGAGAATTGCCGCGGTTGGCATTCCCTTAGTTTCCCCTACAGGATGCTAGCCTTGACCATTTTATGTTCTCTGTCAACTTCACTGGAAGTGTTTTTCCAGGTGACTTGCTAAGATTGGGTCTCTTGCTGGGGCAGGCACTGGTTCTGAGGGAGAGTTGGTTTTGGGGGAGCACCAGGAGGGATGCTGAAACCTCCCTGTTAGTTGGCTTCTCTCCTGTACAGTGAATCGAGTGCATTGGCGCTCATGCTTCTGGAATGCTTTGGCCGCTTGACGATCACCTGTCGTACGTGGAATCTAAAAGTTGCCGTTCCCCAGCTCATTTGGCAGGGGGTGTCTGGTGTGGTGGAAGTTTTTTTAAAAACGATCCTAGTTTCATGACTGTGGGCAAGCGCTGCAGTCTCTTTGGGATCAGTTTCATCATACCACGGAGAAGGCGCTTCACTCCGGCCTTCTGGCTCAGACAGTCTGCAGGGTTTTCACTGCCATGTTGGGGCTAGGGGTTAGAAGTCTGGAGCCTTTAGTTCATGAGGTTAGGGAAAAGCACTGGATCTCTTGATTTCCCCCTCCTGCCCCAGAGGAAGATGTTTTGGATCTCTTGATGGGTGATCCCATGCCTGAGACTGAACCAACCCCGGGTGGGTGGGTATCCATTCCGTCTGTCTGACCAGCCTCTGACTCTCTGTCTTTCTCTCCTGCTTGCGTTGCATCTGGGGTAGAATTGTGGAACAAGCACCAGGAAGTGAAAAAGCAAAAAGCTTTGGAAAAACAGAGTAAGGAACAAATGCCCCTTCCTGTTCCCAAGTCTCCCATACCTGCCAACTCCCCGGGCCCAGATGGGGCAGGCTCCCTTTGTCAGCCCCACCCCAAATTTGCTCTTGAGGGATATTTGGACTGAAAGCAGGTAGGTGGTGAGTGAGTCCTAGGCGTGTGGCTTGTAGGCTGCTTCTTGCCCCTCCACTCGTAGCAGTCAGGCTGCAAACAGGGTGTCCATGGAGTAAGACCCCCTTAGAACTTGGTTCTCTATTGCTGCAGAGTTGGTGGGGAGAATGTTTGCCCATGTCAGTGACCTCATTGGCTGATACCTCCCTCACCCGTTGGAAGGCCTGTGGGCACAGTTGGCAGAGATGGTTGCTGTCCCTCTGTGTTGAGTCTGTAGCTGCCCAACTCTCTGGTGGCTTGCCTAGGCACGCTTTCTTGCTTTCTGTCATTCTGTCCTTCTGCCATATCATTATGGGTGGGTGGGTGGCACTGGGGGTGGCTTTTATCTCAAAAGTAGATGTTGGGTGGGGGTAGGCAGTGCCCACTAAAACAGCAGGTGTTTCTTTATCTCGCTGGGCCTAACCTTTTCCTGGCCCCTTTAGATGCTTGGGAAGCAGTGAGTGACCCAGGGATCCTCGAGTGGTCTCTTGCTCCAGTTACACTCTGACTCTGAGTGCCGTGGAATGTGGTTTAGACCTTTGTGGGGATGGGGTTTTCTGTTTCGGGCAAGTTGCTCAGAAGGTTCTCATGTTAAGAAGATGGCTGAGAACTCCTTGAGACCAGGTCTAATTTGTCCGACTTGGTTCTTAAGGCATCTGGGGACATCTTCTTCCAGTGGATCCCATGGAGTGGGGGCAGTCCCTGGAAAGGTGACTGGGATGTGCTGAGCAGGCCTGGGGCCAGGCCGTGCTGCTGTCCCACTCCCTTTGCCAGCCTGCCCTTGCTTCTGCATACCAAGTAACAGAAGTCTTCCCCTACTCAGGGCCAGAAGTAATCAAACCTGTCTTTGACCTTGGTGAGACAGAGGAGAAAAAGTCCCAGATCAGCGCAGACAGCGGTGTGAGCCTGACATCTGGTTCCCAGGTTTGTGACAGTCTTGTTGAGAATTGTGAGGATCAAGTCTGCTGTCTCAGAAAACTGCTTTTAAAAAAAGATTTATTTATTTATTTGAAGGCAGAGTTAGAGAGACAGAGAGCAAGAACTTCCATCTGCTGGTTCACTCCCCCAAATGACCACAGTGGCCAGAGCTGGGGTGATCCAAAGCCAGGAGCTCGGAGCTTCTTCCAGGTCTCCCACATGGTTGCAGAGGCCCAAGCACTTGGACTATCTTCTGCTGCTTTCCCATGTTCATTAGCAGGGAGCTGGATCGGAAGTGGAGCAGCCAGGACTTGAACTAGCACCCATATGGGATGCTAGTGCCGCAAGTGACATCTTTACCTACTACACCAAAGCACCAGCCCCTCAGAAAATTACTTTAAAAAAAAAAAAAGATTTATTTATTTATTTGAAAGAGTTACACAGAGAGGAGAGGCAGAGACAGAGACAGAGAGAGAGAGAGGTCTTCCATCTGCTGGTTCACTCCCCAGACGGCCGCAACGACTGGAGCTGCACCGATCCGAAGCCAGCAGCCAGGAGCTTCTTCTGGGTCTCCCACATGGGTGCAGGAGCCCAAGGACTTGGGCCATCTTCCTCTGCTTTCCCAGGCCACAGCAGAGAGATGGATCAGAAGAGGAGCAGCTGGGACTAGAACCAGCTCCCATATGGGATTCCGGCGCTTCAGGCCAGGGCATTAACCCGCTGCGCCACAGCACCGGCCCCAGAAAATTACTTTAAATTAAAAAAAAAAAAAAAAAAAAAAAAACTTGAAACAATGTAAATACCTGATAGTAAGGGAATGATTAAATAAATATGATTGATCCATGTTGAGTCCAATATTGGACTCCATTAAGGATTGCATAGTCAAAGATTTAGTGACATGAGGAAATGTTTATCAAGCTACAAGTATAGTATGATTCCAGTTTTATTTTTTAACTATATTAGGGGAAGTCTGAGAAGGAATATATTAAAAACAGGAGTTAAGTGGGTGGTAGATTTAGGGCTTTATACTATTTCCTTATTCTTTCATGTGTTTTTGATAATTAGAATGTATTTCTTGAATGTATATTATTATTTTCTATTTTGTTTGTCATACTTATTTTACATTTAGGGGAAAAAAAGCTATTCATGGCCTCCATAGGGACGATAACTGAAAGGTGGGATGGGGAGAAAGAGGAAGGTAGAGTGTTTGAGGGACTGTGCCCAGATGGGACCCATCCCCGAACGTGTGTGTTCCTGTGTCTCGTTTCAGAGGACAGATCAAGACTCAGTCGTCGGTGTGAGTCCAGCTGTTATGATCCGCAGCTCCAGTCAGGATTCTGAAGTTAGCACCGTGGTAGGGGAACACCACACTAGCTTCTTGGCGGGTGCGGGTGGATTTCCCCTTTGCAAAAGGGGGCTCCTTTCTCTCTGGAGGCTGTTCTCAGTCTCAGGTCAGCATGGTTCTCATGGTGGAAATGTGCACCTGTTGTCATAGGTGTGTGTACGCGGGATTTCACCCAGGGCTTCTCCTCATCTTTTAAAAAGAAGGTACTTTGAGAAGCTGTCTGGCACACCTTTGAAGTGGTAGCGGAGAGCTCTAACAGCTGGGCATTTCGGGGCGCTTCCCTGGGGAGCACCCCTCACTGCCTTCTTTCCTTTCCAGGTGAGCAATAGTTCTGGGGAGACCCTTGGAGCGGACAGTGACCTGAGCAGCAATGCAGGGGATGGACCAGGTGGCGAGGGCAGCAGCCACTTGGCAAGCTCGCGGGGCACTTTGTCTGATAGTGAGATCGAGACCAACTCCGCCACAAGCGCCATCTTTGTAAGCTTTTTTTTTTTTTTTTTTAACAAAAGAAGACTTTTTTTTTTAACAGGGGAAGGAAGTGGGTTAAAAAAGAAAAGATGAAACATTTGCGGGCTCGTCCTGCAAGGCCCGCCCTGTCGGGGTGGTGGGGCAATGGTGTTCTTCGATAGGAGCACCAGAGACCGTTTCAGTGAACATGTCCGCTTATTAACAAGCAAGCATAAGCTTCTAAGGGGCAGGCAGAAGGGGCTAATTCAGGGCAGCACTAATTCTATAGGAGAAAGCTGATATTGGCTCCACTATGCTTCTCCAGTCAGCTCAAAGCTCACATAGCCTGGCCTACTTAGCCTTCCAGGTGGTCCTGATGGATCTGGGCCATACCCGGGAGCTGTTTACCTAATTGGCAATTACAGGGCCTTTCAGCAGGAATTGGGAGTGGGGCTCCTGCCGCCTGCCAGCAGTCAGGTCATAAGGTCCGTCCTGGGAGGCATGGTGTGTGCCATGCCCTCTTAACCTGCTGCATGGGCTCGGCAGGCAGTCTCCTGGCCAGGCACAGGGTCACCCCCAAACATTAAGATAATAAGAAGGGAAAGATGAAGCAAGGAACAGCTAATCCCCACATATTTGGCTTTCAGGAAAATGTTTCTTAAGAGTCACTCGACTTGGTGAACTGGGTATTTTAGAACCCTGTCTGGAATCATTAATGAGTTAGGTACCTGCCCAGTTGGGTAAGGGCTGTGAATGCTGTGTGGTAATACAGCTGTGTTTAAAACGGACAGAGATACCTTTGTAGCAGTGTCAGAACAATTACAGCTCTCATTTTGTGTCAGTCCACTTATGTCTATAGGCTACTCCAGCTGTTGTTGTTTTTTAATATAGTGTTACTGTCCTTAGAAGGACTCTTTTTTTTTTTTTTTTAAGATTTATTTATTTGAAAGGCACAGTTCCAAAGAGAGAGGGAGAAAGAAATAGAGAGGAGAGAGAGAGGTCTTCTATCCGCTGGTTCACTCCCCAAATTCCCACAACAGGCCCGAGCTGAGCCAGTCTGAAGCCAGGAACCAGGAGCTTCTTCTGGGTCTCCCACATGGGTTCAGGGACTCAAGAGCTTTGGGCGTCTTCTGCTGCTTCCCAAGGCACATTAGTAGGGAGTTGGATCAGAAGTGGAGCAGCCAGGACTCAAATTGCTGCCCATAGGGGATGCTGGTGTCGCAGGTGGTGTCTTTGCCCACTATGCCATAACGCTGGGCTCAGCTAGTCTAGTTTTTTTTTTTTTTTTTTTTTTTGACAGGCAGAGTGGACAGTGAGAGAGAGAGACAGAGAGAGAAAGGTCTTCCTTTGCCGTTGGTTCACCCTCCAATGGCCGCCGCTGCAGCCGGCGCACCGCGCTGATCCGATGGCAGGAGCCAGGATCCAGGTGCTTCTCCTGGTCTCCCATGGGGTGCAGGGCCCAAGCACCTGGGCCATCCTCCACTGCACTCCTGGGCCACAGCAGAGAGCTGGCCTGGAAGAGGGGCAACCGGGACAGAATCCAGCGCCCCGACCGGGACTAGAACCCGGTGTGCCGGCGCCGCAAGGTGGAGGATTAGCCTATTGAGCCACGGCGCCGGCCTAGCTAGTCTAGTTTTATTTTGGTTACTGCTCTATTTGTATAGAGCCTCAAAATAATATTTCATTTCAGTGTATTTCTAACAGTTGTTTGAAATTTTCATTCACTGATAAATATCTATAGAGTTACTAAAAGTGCCGGATTCTGTACTGAAGAAACTGGTGAATAAGGCATGATTTCCACTCTCGAGAAGTTTGCAATCCAGCATACAGTATGTTATTATGAATAGTACCTTCTGAGAGGTGAGGGGAATGAAACTTTAGAAAAAAATAGACTTGGGCTGTGCTGTGGCATAACAGGTAAAGTGTCCACCTGCGGTGCTGGCATCCTGTATGGGTGCCGGTTTGAGTCCCAGCTGCTCCACGTCCAATCCCGCTCCCTGCTAACATGCATGGGAAATCAGCAGAAGATGACTCCTATGCTTGGGTCCCTACACCCACGTGGGAGACCCAGATGAAGCTCCTGGATCCTGGTTTTGTTTGAATCAGCCCAGTTCTGGCCATTTGGGGAGTGAACCAGTGGACTGAAGATCTCTCTCTGCTTCCTGTAACTCTGCCTTTCTCTCTTCTTTT